CACCAGTGACACCTATGGAGAGATAGAAAAGTGGACGTTTCTGTAGAATGATCCATGTATGTAAGTATTAAAAATACTTACAAAAAACAACAGGACCTAGAAAAGGCTAGACGTCTGGTCTACTTACCATTAGACAGCTACAGCTTATTCGAAATGCAAAATGGTCACCAAAACAATGAGAAATGAGAATATTACCCCAGTTTGGCTGCCAGCTAGTTTTACAATTGATTTTAAAGTGTTTCTATTTGTGTACGGGCTGGATTCCCGGGCAGTGATTAAGCCTAGTCCTAGACCTCACAGCATTGTGAATGGAGATTCTCCACTGAAAGAAAAGGACTAGGCTTAATCCCTGTCTGGCAAACCGACCCTATAAATCACTCAGTGGCTTAGCATCAAAATACATCTCTGATCTGTTTGAAAACTATAAACCTATCAGGCCTTCCAGATCACTAGAGACTGGCCAGCTATCAGGACCCAGAATAAGAACCAACCATGCTGCCCAAAGCCGGAACCAGCTGCCTGAATCTCAGATATGTCCCCAAATTTGGCCAACATTACGTCTAGACTAAAGATGTTTCTTTTGCCCAGGACGCTGACACTTCAGCACTTTGTGTCTTTATGCTATTTTATATTTTGCTTGTATTTGTGTAAAGACTTTGAACTGCCTGTATGTATGAAATATGCAATACAAATAAACTTGTCTTGCATTGCATATATGGAAGAAGAAGAACACTAAACCTAACCCCAACTTTGACCTCAGTACCCAAAAAGAAATATTTTAGCACTGTTTTTTTTCTGTTGTTCTTCACAAAATCAGGATATTTTTGTCCTGAAAGAATATGAAAACAAATACATACACACACATATTCCGCATCCTGTGCGCTGATGAGTAAGAGCACATTGAGACGTCTCACTCCCACTGCTGTTTCTCTCCTTCTCCCTCTCTCTTTTTTTTTCTGGCTGCTCTATCTTGCACAGATCTATCCATCCTTCCTTGATTTTTCATTCATCAGATGCATTTACATAGATGTGTCATTTACATTGCATTTCCATTGATGCACAGATAATGTGTTATTTCTCTCTCTCTCTCTCTCTCTCTCTCTCTCTCTCTCTCTCTCTCTCTCTCTATATATATATATATATATATATATATATATATATAAATACCTTTTACTTGGTCACAGGTGACCATTTGCAAACAGTGGGCCAGTACGTCATCAAATGACATTCTCATAAAGGAATGCATTAAAAAATTTGCACAGTTTCAGCCAACATCAGCCAAGGCATGTTTGGTGTCTGCAAATCTCTAAAAATGGACAAAAGTACATTTCTACTGCTACTGTTTTTAGCTATGCAATTATCTTTTGTCCATTTAAGGTAATACTTTACTTGAATGCTGGTCCAACCATGCCATACAGACGATATGGCAGATGTCAGATGCTGTCATGAGTTTTCCTTGCAGATTATATCCAAAAATATGAGTCATGTTACCATTACCGCTAATTGTCAATCACATTTGTCATAATGTTTGACGTAAAAAAATTAGCATGTGAAACAAGCTTATTAGGTGACCCTTTATTAATCCCACAACGAGGTAATTTTACCTCCGCATTTTACCCATCCGTGCAGTGAAACACCACATACATACTAATGGGCAGTGAATACGCATGCCCAGAGCAGTGGCCAGCCCTATCCATGGCACCCAGGGAGCAGTTGGGGGTTCAAGGGCACTTCAGTCATGTACTGTTGGCTCAGAGGATTGAACCAGCGACCTACCGGTCACAAGGCTGGTTACCTAACCTCCAGCCCATGACTGCCCCCTGTCATGACATGAAACGTTAGGAAATCTGTCATAACAATTACTAGTGATACTAACATGACACTGTTATATTACTGAACTGGCAACTAATGTTGCTTTCAAGTGCTGGTGGAATGGTAGATTTCGCAGAGAAGGAACCCAGCGAGCACCCAGAACTCTGAGGTTGTCAGATGGATGTTGTGGTTAATTAGCGAGCTGGAATTGTCCTATTTTACTGGTGTTTTGAACTCATATGAAGAAAAAATATAAGATGTGGGTTGACTGCATGTTTACAATTCACTTTACCATTATCACTTACCATATTTATGCAGTTGTTGTTTGACTGCTCACTGTTATCCTGTTATAAAACCCTTATGCTTGCTTACAAAGCCAAAAATGGACCAACCCCTTCGTACTTGATAGCAATGGTGAAATCTCGAACTGTACCACGAGCCTTCGAGCACAGCTCGACTTGACCCGCCATCCTTCAAGGCGCGCGGAAGGCAAGCATCAAGACTGTTCTCTGTGCTTTCACCCAGGTGGTGGAACGAACTCCCACTGGCTGTCCGAGCAGCAGAGTCTCTCGCTGTCTTCAAACGCAAACTGAAGACCGTCTCTTTATACAGCACTTAAATGAGCACTGAGTTAAGTATTGATTGTAATGTATTGTACTGCACTTATGTATTGTATTGTATTGTGTTGCACTGCTCTGTGTTTAACTCTGTCCCTTTTTCTCTAGGCGTCTATAATGACTTTCTGATTCTACCAGTATCTGAGCTCAGGACTGACTTTCTCTCTAACCTACTGGTAACTAGCAAAGATATTTTCTCTGGATAGACAAAGCACTTTTGTAAGTCGCTCTGGATAAGAGCGTCTGCTAAATGCTGTAAATGTAAATGTGAATGTAATCCTCCGCCGTGATGACAGCAGCATTGACATCACAACTTGGTCAACTTGAGCTTGCATTGAAAATTCCAATGTACCCTCTTCATTATCCGACTTCGAAAGGCATTCATGCGGTACCTCCTGGTGGGAAACTCCAATAAAACCAAGACCACTTGAAAGCAGCATAAGGACATTATATGACATCTGCTATGCCACGTTTGTGGCATGTTTATGTCAATGTTATGAAGCAGGATTCAAGTAAAATGTCACCCGTTTTGATAGATAACAATTTGTCATACAGTGTCAGTGCATAAGTAAGTCTGTTGAAGTTACTTAACAACTCGACACTATTTGAGGCAAATGTGTGATGATGCAGTTAGCTAGATCCTAACTGGTGGAGTACAAGCTTCAAGTGCTTGTTAACTGCATTGGTCTTTAAAACCGAAGAAGCAAACTTCAGACACCAAACGTGTCTTGGCTGATTAACTACCTCCAGTGGCAGGTGTGACACACCGTGGCCCAGTTCTAGTCCTGAATTCCGTAACACGAGACTGACCATGTACACACCTGATCAGGTAGTAACTGGCCACGTAATTACACCTGACTGCATGACGGTACTGTTTCATTTTCCACTCTCTTCTGGAAGCATGAGAAACCCCAAATTAGTTGTTCTTCTATATAGTTCTATATATTTTCAGTCATATATGAACCTTGTAACTTTTCATTTTTTTACACCACATAAAACTGCTAGCTGCCCTTAGCAACATTTCCAAAATGACTTACAATAAAGTTACATCATATAAAAATTTTCCATTCAGATGATATCATATTTTCTTATGACAGTGATGATACACAGGTCATATACTCATAAAAATATAGTTGCTGAGAAGTTGGGAGGGATGCACTTTTGGTCCCATAATAAACCTTTTAATGCATGATTATTTAACCTTCAAACTTATGTCTATCTGATGAATCTATAGTGTACTATTGATTGCCACAGACAATACTTTGTCTAGCTTCTTGATATGTTTTTTTCTAAATACAGTGAAAGCATTAAAAATGTTTATAATACACTGCAATGAATTATTGTATATTTACAGCAGAAACACTGCAGTAATCTATTTCAATCCTTAAATACAGCAGATTGTTGCAAAGAAAGGTGTAAGAAAGCTTCTGAAAGTTACAGATCATCCTGTAGAAAGAGGGTAAAATGTTGAATTTTACAGTAATCAGTTGTTATTTGCATATACTTTTGGAAAACGACTGGTACTATGTACAGCTTTTCTCTGAATATTGTAGTGATGGGGAAAGCTTCCCTGCATTCCTTGTGGTCTCTAGTTTAACCATGATGGTGTTTTGTGTTTTAGTTAACTATTTCATCCTATAATGTTATAATCAAATACATATTTGGCTGCTGCCATCATTTATAGTTTTACTCAGTGGTATAAATGCATATAACTGATTGATAAGTATGTAATTGACTGATAAACAGTCCTGTGCTTTTGTAAGATACAGTGCAATTGTTATCTTAACTATGTAAAAGCACACATGAACGCTCAAGCATGTGCTTCCAAAAACTGGTAAGATTGATTTGATATGATCTTCATATGTTGTACTACATAATGCTGAAGAGCCGAGGGCCCTCAGGGTGGACATTATAGCACATAAGAGTTGTACATTAGAAATGCAGGAGTGCAGGAAAAAATACATTAATCAACTGTATTTAAATACAGTATTGTAATTTTCTAATGCATTATGAACAACGTAAATAAACATAATTCCTGCCAATAAGTTCCTGTAACTTTACATTCCCTTTTTGGGTGCAAAGCACCTTATGGAAGTGGTTTGCAACTCACTCACTCATGTTTTGCGGGCTGAAATTCTCCACAAGGGGGCGCCGTTAGCAGTCAAACAGCTTTTGATGTTTCATAAGAGTAGTGCTTCACATCAATGACAATTGTTTTACAGCATAATTGACCAAATGCTACAGATGCAGCAGACAGAGATTAGGTTGAAAAATGTAAAAGTATTTCCATTAAAGAACTATGCATTAAAACGTTCTTTAGGGAATCAAAAGAGGTTCTATGGCTTAACTCCAAAGAACCTCCTTTGTACCCTTTTATGCACTTTTTTAAGTACATGATACTCAATAAGGCGACTCTAAATGAAATGACAGCTAGCATGAAGAAAATACAACTTTATTTATTGAAACTAAAAGCAATCATTAGACAAGTGTAGAGGTGTGTTTAAATACTCATTATAACAAATGTTCAGGTTAAAATTATATCACTTTACTCTATATATTCACTTAAGAGAGACTGAGTGAAGCAGCTTTACCTGGACCTGGTGATGTTGACAATTGTATTTGGAAATGCATAAAAATATTAAAAAGATCACAAAATAACTGAGGAATGTTGGTCTGAGCAGAGTTCAGTTGTGGCAAGAGGAGTCCATAACTTCCATTCAGATACTGCACCTGGGTGTGTAGGTGTGTGTGTGTGTATGTGTGTGTGTGTTTAAGGCCAGAGAATAAAAGCTAGGGAGAAAAACAAGAAAAGAAACAAAAACTATAAATCATAATAAACATAATAAACACAAATGGGTTTCAAACAGGAGAGAGAGGAGAAAAAGAGGAATCAGATTTTAGAACCACACACTTTACACACTGACATTGTTTAAGATCTTTCAATACACATCCACTAACCCACTGAACATCTGACACCTTTTTGTATTGTTTAAATAATTATATTTTTAATATCATTAGGCATGTGGGCTAGAGTACACTGAAAAAAACATGGTGGTATGAATTTACCAGTGGTGACCGTTCACTTTTCGAGCTAGGCCTTCTGCTAGCACTCCTAAGGGATTTCTAGTAGTATGTTAGTCCTAGGATAACATTGGTGCAGATATGCAGTTTTTGGCCATTCTACTTCAAAACCCAGATATTTGAAGCTTGTAAAAGACACTACAAAATGTTTAACTGAAGCAGACATTAACATTTGACCTAATGTATGACCTTGTATGACTCTTTCAGTAAAGCGCTCTGGCATAGAACTGACGATGCTGTTTTCAAACTGAAACTGGCTTAAATGAATGTTCCAGAAGGCCTAGAGTGACGCTTTTCCTTACAAAATTGGTCCCACCCATTGGAAATCAAAACATAATTAGGTGATTCCTGTATCAGTTACTAATTTTGTTGGTTGGTAATTGAATGTTCAGCTCCTGAAGGCCTAACCAATTACAGAGCTCTGGCTGTACCTACTTAGATACCACAGAGAAAAAGACCATTTTCCATTGGGGGTTTCAAAGCCTTAACTCCTTTGTTTCCAACCAAAACGTAACAAGAGTATTACTACAATACTTTTTGTAGTTTAAATGCAACAAGCATGATAACTCTATTAACTCTTGTGTGGTGTTGGGGTCTGTGGGACCCATTTTCATTGTTTACCAAAAGAAAAAAATTACATGATTTATTATTTCACTCTGTTCACCCCCCACACATTTATATTACACATGTGGTGTTGGGCTGAACCCATGGGGAGTAAAAGTGTGGAGGTGCTGTGTCCTTCACTCTGTTCTCCTCCTATGTGGCCTGCTCTAAGTGTGTGTGTGTCTGTGTGTGTATATATGTGTGTGTGTGAGTGTGAGGGTGGACAGCATGGACAGGTTGCTGACTGACTACAGCTGCTAAAGGAGAACCCTACGCTGGACACTTGTGATATTTTAAACATCTGGTATTTTTACATAAATTCTTACGGCTGTATTGATTTAAAAAAAAAAACAATAATGTGGTGGGTCCACCAGACCACTGAGTGACAAACATATCAACACCACACAAGGGTTAAATCAAAATGAACTAAAAATTAGAGACATATTTTTACCACCCAAAAATCACTGTGCATGTTAGAATCATGTTCTGCAACTTTCAGCGGGGAACCCTCAGTGCTTTCTGGGTCTTCTCTGAAGGCCTAGAACAGGGGTTGACAACGCTAACATTAAGAAGAGCTATTTTTTTCCCATTTCAATAAAAAACAAACCACTTTGGGAGCCACAGTATTTTATGTCTACTTCATTAAAGGACATTTTGGCTGTAAATGTGTCTCAGGATGTGATAATGTCCTAGTATAGACTAAAAAATCTAATATGACAATATAATATAAACAAAAACACAGACTTGCTTTGCTCTGCTTTAAGCTTTAGCTCAGCTATAGCCACTTTTCTCACATCTCCAGCAGGAACTTTTCCACAAAAGTTGAAGGGTTCTTGTAAAATGTCTCCCAGCACTTGACTTTTTAGTGTTGGACAGTTTCTTGTTGCAAATGAAACACATCAGGAAACCTGCTGGAGTGCATATAAATGCAAATGAGTCTGTCTATCTGTCTCTAAATTCTAGGTGTTTGTCTTGTATATGTCTCTTATTTACTATTTTGTTAGCTACTAGCTAGGCAATATTGTTATGCTACCAGCTGTCTGCACTCCAGCCTCCAGGGTTAAAAGTTGGCGATTATTAAGGGTTATTAAGTTATACATTAGTTTCAGCATTTAAGACCATCTATTGTTAAACGTGTGTTAAAACTCACTCAGCTTTATTTTACTGCAAAGCATAATTTTACTGCAAAGGAGGATTATTTGATTTCTACCTAAAAATCTAGTTCTGCTGTGGAGCCACAAGGGGGCAGTAAAAGAGCCGCATGTTGCTTACCTCTGGCCTAGTAACCGCTGAAGGTTCCCCACGGGAATTTACAGAACATGATTCAAGCATGCAGACAGCTACACGTAAGTAAATGTGTTAGATTGTGTTAACACAATTCTTGCAAAGTAATCTGAAAGACAGCAACTGTGCTAATGTAACACTTTTATTAATATGCAAATATCTGACAGTAATTATTGTGTAAATCATGTAAATCCCACCATTTTTCAGAGAAAAATAAGAAACTTGATTAACTCTGTTTTAGGTTCTTCCCCCATCTACTCACATCGCTCAATCTGAGCAATGACACACACACAGCCATACCCACCTTCTCTTCGATCTCTTTGATTTGTCGTCTCTGCATATCAATCTTGTCCTCCAGTTCTCTGATCCTCTGCAGTAAAAACAAATTTTGAGGCAATTAATAAAACATGACATTAATTTTGATGGACTTCTCCCATACATAACAATTTCATTCAATGTGAATCTGACATCACAACGCATTTTCCTACCATACTGTGATTTATTTCTGAGTGAAACATGGTATCAGGGAGGTTCTCTGAGCTAGCTGATTGTTTTTTGGTTGATGACAGGAGGGGGTGGTGGTGGGGGGCTGAAACTTTGGTTGACATTATTTCCCCCACCCACTGGTATATGGTGATTTATAAAATGGATAGTTATGGTCTTAAAATCTGATTGGCTAAGCCGCGTTCGAAACGTTGTAAGATCCACGATATATGAACACCTATGACTGCTTCGCAACAACTGAATCATGTATCACTGCGCCAAAAAAACCCTTGTGCTGTTAATGGAATAATCTTTGACTCTCGTGCTGCTTCCATGGACCACAGAGTATACTGATGAAGTAAGAACCCGTTTTTGGTTTATATTGAGGGGCTGACTACTTATGTTCTTAACTAGAACTAGCCTGGTCAGCCAGCTAACGGGCTAAAATATAGCAAACAGCCTAAACAACTCCATCATTTATATCACAGGCTTGAATTAAAGTAGTTATGGTATGATTAACTGTAAAACGGTATAAAAGTCTAAAAAATATTACTTGAATGTTTTACAAGCTTCAAACCTTCATGTTTCAGTCAGAAGTCGCGTCAAACCCAGGCTGAATCCCAAACATCTCCGTGTGAGATATTCCCTGAGTAGTGTTCTAGCTATGGAAGTTTAGAAATTCCAGCCTCTACAGACAAACAGTGCATCATTTATCGAGTGTGGATGAGTCTGAATCCCAAATGACTGTTTCTTAGCTGTATTTTGCTCTGTTGGGCTGCAGGATCCAGTATTTAAACTCCTACATAGTGCACTATGTAGGGACCAGGGAGCCGTTTGAGGTTCAGCCCCAGCACGAGAAGAGGGGTGCCGCTGGATTGGTGCTAAATACGACTCGCGGTAGTGATTTGCTGACCAAAAAGTACTTATAAAGAGAAGGTTTTGTATTAGCCAGTGCTGTGTTATCATATGTTCATTGTTAGACAACAAAAAGTTAAAAAATCATGAAATGACCGCAGTATACAGTGATGGGCGACCAAACGTTCTCCTAATTCAGTGTCCATGGTTGCTTAGCAACGATACCGTACTCTAAAGGAACTACATTTCTTGGCAAATTACTTGTTGATGTCGATTATTATTAATAATAACTTGAAACACACTAAAAGGGTGTATTTAATCATATTTAATGTTGGTCACCGTTTTGTAAAAGCAATAAGCCACCTGAGGCTGTGCGTTACTGCAATTTTATTACAGGGAAGGGAGTGTCTAAAAACACCCTTCCCGTGATAGAATCAGAGTAACCCACAGCCTCTCGTGGCTTATTGCTTTAGTAATCAACAGTCTGAAGATGTTTACGAGGTGAAGAAAAGTAATCACACTTCAATCAAAGATTATGTGAAAATAATAATTTTGCCTTTTAAATGGCATAATGAATATGACATTATTTAACCAGGTAAAAAAGGGGGGTATTGTGTAAATATGAGTTGTCACCAAACTATTGCTTCAGTTTGACAGCCTGTTATTTTATAAGACTACACATGCGTGTGTGCTGACCTGTTGTGCGGACTGCAGGAGCTCCATGCGCTGCTGCAGGATCAGTGTGTCTGCGTGACGGCTCTGTCTGAGGATCTGCCTGCGCACAGCCTCCATCGACTCAGCAAGCTCCGCCCGCTGCCTGTCACTCAAACTCTCAGCCAATCGGTTATCTGGGTCTTGCTGCAGGATGGCGTAAAGCGTGGCCTCCAGCTCCTGAACCCTCTGAAGGACACAACACAGGACACAACACTGAGTACGTGTTGGAGCTTTGTCATTTCTTGACGAAGGGACCGATAGATGTGGTCCATATCTGTTGATATCATTTTGATATGATAGCAACAATTGAATGAATTTCATTACATTAAATACATTAAATTTATTTTTTTTACCTCTCCTATAAAGTTACCTTCACACGGCATGTTAGCTTCACACATTTTGCCAATCCAACAAGATTATTCTTTATCTAATTTAATCATAATGGTCAGGTACCAGGTGAGCTTGGTCTAAGGCCTGTTTCCTGTAGTCCAGCTCCTCCTCCAGGAAGCCCTTCTGCTTACTGAACAGCTCCTGTAAACGGCATCAGCACACAGAGTAACGCTTCACTGAAATGTATCAGATCTTTACTGCAGAGTCAAACTGCTCTTGAAGGGAAAAGGAAGGCGACACTGAGCAGGACTCATCCATCTCAGACAGCATGAACAGACTTGATCAAGGACTGTCTCACCTTTTCGTTCTCAAGATCAATCATCTTCTGCATGAGTGCTGCCTCTGTGCTATCAATCTGCTTCAGCCACTGAGAGAGAGACAGAGAGAGAGAGAGAGAGAGACAGACAGAGAGAGAGAGAGAGAGAGAGAGAGAGAGAGAGAGAAAGAGGAGGGGCATAGAAAACAAAACCTCTTTTAGAGTGTTTCAGACTATCCACTCTATCTGTCTATCTATCTATCTATCTATCTATCTATCTATCTATCTATCTATCTGTCTGTCTGTCTGTCTGTCTGTCTGTTTATCCATCAATCCACTCTATCTATCTATCTATCTATCTATCTATCTATCTATCTATCTATCTATCTATCTATCTATCTATCTGTTTATCCATCAATCCATCCATCTGTGTGTCCGTCCGTCCATCCTTCTATCTATCTATCTATCTATCTGTCTGTCTGTCTGTCTGTCTGTGTATCCATCTATCTATCCATCTGTCCTTCCATTTATCTATCTATCCATCCGTCCGTCCGTGTGTCCGACTGTCCATCCCTATCTATCTATCTATCGATCTATTTATCTATCTGTCTGTCCGTCTGTCCGTCCCTCCATCTGTCTGTCCATCTATCTATCTATCTATCTATCTATCTATCTATCTATCCGACCATCTGTTCATCTATTTATCCGTCCGTCCATCCATGCATCTATCCATCTGTCCGTCCGTCCGTCTATCCATCTATCTTTCTGTCTATCTATCTATCTATCTATCTATCTATGAAGCTACTTTAAGGTGCACCCATTGCAGACATGAGTGTTCAATTGCACACACACTGCTTGTCTAGTCTCCATAAAAAGCATTGCCAAAAGAATGGAGCAGCCGCTCATGAGCCTGAGGTCACCATGACCAATGCCAAGTGCCAGCTAGAGGGGCATAAAGCCCCCCCAGCATTGGGCTCTGGAGCAGTGCAACTGTATTCTCTGGAGTGATGGAGCTCCATCCCATACCTCTGGGATGAGTTGGAGTGATCCAGAACTGACCATCCAACATCAGTACCTGACCTCACTAATGCTCTTGTGGCTGAATACATTCAAAACCTCATAGCAATTTTCCAATATCTGAAGTAAAGAGAGTAGAGAAGAGTAAAGGTGGCACAAAGCAAAGTGGGGACGCCCTCCCTATTGATACCCTTGATTCCAGGCCTCTGTTTAATAATAAATGTTGGCTGATCTTACTTCAATGACTTTGCAAGTAAATGGTGAAAACATAGCAAATGATATAAGCAAAGAGTTGAGGGTCACAGTTTAGTGCTCTCAGGCAGAGGGCGCCAGAGAGTCAGCGGTCACCTTTTCGCAGCGGGACAGCACAGTGCTGGCCTGGATCACGGTCACCTGCTCCTCATTCCGCAAGTTCTGAGACGAAGAGAACAAAAGAAACAGAGAGAGAGAGATAGATAGAGAGAGAGAGAGAGACTTTGACTTTGAAAGCACTTTTTAATGATTATTTTAAATAGGATGTTAAAAATAGGAAAGCTAAGCTCCAAGGAACAATATCAGCTCCAGGATCCAGCCGGACAGTAAATCATCTTTGTCACTGATGGATGCAAAACTTCCATTTACAACCTATTTTTTCCTAAAACCAGCCTTATTGTTAGCAATTCAATAAAAGCCAAATTCAGCTCTTAAATGTAATTCAACTAAAGTCTGGAACAAGGTCAAGCGGATGTGTCCAGCTTTGCTGATTCCATTTTTAAGGATTTCCAAATGGCTAATTTTGCTTGACCAACTAAAAGAATCACCAAAATACAATAAATCTGGTCTTTTATCCACAAAGCACTCCTCAAATTTATGATCAGCTTAATGATAGGAGTAGCTCTTAGATCAGCGCTCCTATTCTGAGTACCTTTATGAATACGGGGCCCTGGTCTGTTGGGAATACCTACAGCCAAAAAACAATAAAATGCTAGTAAGCAGAAACCTATAGAGTTTAAATAGGGAAAGCAACCTGGGATAGGTCTATTCCCTCTCAGAAAAAAGTCTGAAACTGTCTCTGGGTCAGTCCCCCTCTTGTCACAGGGGTGGGACCCTCAAGAGTCCATCTCAGTACCTTCAGTCAGGGAACATAACTGAACCATAATCCACTGAAATGATATGTTCTAAGCTGTACTGACTCCACACACCCCGTCTCGTCTCCAGGACTTTATTTTACTGTTCTGTTTTAAGACATTCGGTTATGAAAAGGTACAAATACAAACTTTTCACCTGGAAAAACTTATTTAAGGTTCACAATCGGACCTTAAAACCACTGTTGGACCTTTGAGGGAACATTTACATTGTTTGTACCTTAATCAACAAAAATGTACCTGCACAGAACCTTTATTTCTGACAATGTAGTTCCTACAAACCACACATTAGTAGCCATTACACACACCAGAGAGAGAGAGAGAGAGAGAGAGGGAGAGATGTCAACACAAGCTTGAGAAATGGACTGGGGATGGACTGTCTTACCCCGTTGTCTCCCAGGATGTCCAGCTTCTTTATGAGGTCAGGAATAATGACATCCTATAAAACACAATACAGATCTGCTTCATGTAAAAATGTTAAACAAGTCTGAGTTAGTAATTTTCCATATTTACATTCATTGTTTCCCATCATTCTGAAATAATCCTGCTGGCAGTATGGGGTTGAGGTATTGTCTTATATACATATATCTTGGTTACATATCTCCTTTTTATTTTCACTTATTTTTTATTCAAAACAAAGTCAAACTGTACCCCTGTCTATTCATATATGTTAAAGTGGAACAAATTGGCAATTGGAAATTGTTACAAAAGGACTTGGGTGCTAGTCAATATACAATATACCTTGGGGGAGCAGAGGGTGTTCAATATATGTGTCTATGTGTGGAACATTGGCATGAAAACATCCAAACTCCAAAACTGGAATCAGAAAAATACGTAAAAGATGCCTTAAACGGCCTAACGACCATCAGATTAACAGAGAAAAGGTCCACTCTTACGGCAGATCTGAAAAAATACTCCGACTGAAAAAAGTTTTGAGGCAACTTAATTCAAAATGTTTTTGATTTAAGTCTTTCTGAGGACACTGGTCAACTATTCTGTAGAATAAAAGTGGTGGGGTAAGTTAAAAATTTAAGGTAATCTAAAATTTAAAAAAAACTTTTGTTTTCTTTTACAGGCATGTCTGTTTCTAGACAAAAAAAGAAGAAAACTTCACATCAGCCAAAGAAGATGCTGATGTATAATGGAATCCAGATCTCAACATCACTGAATGTGTTTGGGATTACTTGGATTGTGAGAAGCAGAAAATGCAACCAACTTCTAATACTGAACTTCGGAGGTGTGGAAAAATATCCCTGCTAATTTCTTTGAAAAAATGAAAGCTAGTCTCCTGAAAAGAATCTGAAATGAAGCTGAAATAAAGGCAAAGAGTGGACGCGTTAAAAAAACGGGGAAAAAATCTATTTGGTCTAAACTAATTTAACAGGAAACAGCTAAACCTAGTTGTTTCTTGTTAAATTAGAAAACATCTGCTTTGTTTATAATGCTGAAAATCTTGTATGCATCTGTATACATGCATAATACGGACGTGTTCACATGTATGTGTTTATATTTGTATGTGTATGTGTACCTTGATGCCCTCCTGTTGGCAGTGTAGCTGCAGGCTGCTGTTGTTTTCCAAGGCAGAGATATGCAAGTTAAAGGCAGGAGAACGCCGCTCCCTCTCCTATTGGTCAAACACAAAATTGGTCTAGAGATGATGTCCATTCATCCATTAAGTACAAAGATGGTCACTATCTGGACTCGGACATCCAACGGTCACATTTCTGAGAGGTCATGTAATCAGGCACACGTAATAATCCAGCATTATTTGTTTGCTATTAATGTGAAAGGTTACAATAATAGTTTATAACGTCACTGAATAAGACCTTCAGAATACGTCAGAATAAAAGCTTTTATCTCCATTCTTGTTTTTTTGGACATATTTTAAGGGCACACTGCCTACTTTTTTTAATTTCCTGGGGTCCTTTTATGACGTTTGTGTGGGTTTTATGTCACAAAGAGTCATAATTAATTTTTCCAAGACCATTTTCCAACCGTATTCCAACCAATTAAACAGGCTGTTTTTGTTACTGCGCCTTTAAAACTAATACATGTAAATGACCTGTGTTTATTTGTCTATATAGAGGAACATTTATGGAAACGCTATGGAACATTTTAACTCTTTAACTATGTTTACAGAGATTGTTTATTCAAAAAAAGTGGGGAAATGTTTTTTTATGAAATGGGCCCTTTAAAACTGCCCCTACATTACATGAAGATATGAATGGATTGATAGAAATGGGTCAAAATTACTTAGAATAAAATCTTCTGACATTTTTTTTACTTATTATTTTGGAGATATAAGGTGTTGTTCGAATAGTGATTATATATATATATATATGCATGTATATACAAATGAACTAATTCTCCAGTGGATGAGAACAGCTAACTTGATAGTTGATGTGAGCATACTGAGATTTTTCTTCTTTTGAGTTGTCCTCTAATGATCCCCCTTCCCGCCCAAAAGTAAATATGGCATTTTTCTGCAAATTTTGCAAATTTCTATTTATTTGCTGAATTTAACATGTTGGAAAAAAATTAAACAAAACATAAAATGTGCCATTAGTTTTGCTCAGGCCACATTTTATGCTTTTTGTTTGTTTGTTTGTTTTAAATTCAGCAAATAAACAGTAAACTTGCATTAAAATGAGCAGAAGTGCGTCTTCTGCAGAAGATGTGTTAACTTATTTATTACTTCAATCAACAAAACATACAATTTACCCAGGGGCGCCCTAACTTTTGCATATAACTGTAGTTCACAGAAACATTAAATAATCAGCAATTCTTCACAAACACAGTTCATCAACACAGATTTAGTGTGACAGGCCTCTAATATGTCGCTGCTGTCAGAACAAAACCTCGTATCTCCAAAAAGGTAACTTTACAGAAGAAGAGAAAATGTTCTGAAATTTTAATGGAAATGAATGGAGACATATTTTTTACTAGTCATTTTGGACCATTTCTGTTGGCCCATGCATTATGATATTTTGACACAGCCTAAAGGGCAACTTCCTTTTTACAATTATGTAAAAAAAAATGGAAAACGACAAGGTTTTGTCCTGACAGCAGCGATGTTAGCTACATGACTGTGTATGACTTGGCTGATCAACTATATTTTCAATAAGCACAAAAACAGTGGAATTTTTGCTAAAAATTGTAATTGTGTACACAAAAATGTGATCTGGGAACAAATCAGGAAATGTGAATTCTAATAATGAAATGAAATGGGCACGTCTCATAGATTGCACGTACAAGTACTCGTCATGCACACAATAGTAAACAAATATAAATGCATAGAAACTGAAATCAAACACAAATTTTACTATGGTAATGAGTTGATCCATAGTAAAAGCGAAATACATGGCCTTTGAAATAAGTGCTTGGGATGCTCAGGTGCAAAGATACATCTTTCTCTTGAAACACACACATGCATGCACACAAACGCACACACACACACACACACACACACACAGACACACACACACCTGCTCACACACAAAACAACATGCAGGGAAGTGGAGTCAAAAAATGGTGAGGAGCTCAATTCAAATAAATTTTATTCCAACTCATATTCAACCGATTAAAACAACATTCATTTAAATATACATCATTTAACGTTTAAACAATCGTTTGAAAATGACAGAGATGAATATTTTAACATAAAAAAGGATAAAAAGATGCAGTGCTAGTTGGCGAGCATGCATGTGTGCGTGTGTGTCTCTAGACGTCTATGTGTTAAGCTTATGCAGGCAGCAGTTGGGGTTGGCCGCCCCGGGTTGTTGCAGTGGGAACAAGATGGAGTCTCTTACTTCCAGTTCGAGGATGCGGAACTCCAGCAGCTCGTTCTGGTCTTGAGTGTCCCGCACCTCGGAACGCAAGCGTAGCTCGCACTGCTCCAGTAACTCTATCTATCACACACACACAGAAGTATACAAATATATTACAAATATTATTGAAAGAAGATTTCAGTGCTTTTCAACGTCATTTTAGCTGCTGCCATCTGTACCACATGCCTGAATACCATGGACAACAGAGGTCAGAGGTCCCGTTGACCTGCTTGAATTCATTATTCAAGACAATTAGCAGTTGCCGAATTGTATCAGTAAAGAGTTATAGTGCAGTGAAAAAGTATTTGCCCCCTTCTGATTTCCTCTGTTTTCAGTTTTGTCACTCTAAATGGTTTCAGATCCTCAAACAAAGTGTAATGCATGGCAAGAAGACCAAGATCGGGTCACTCCTTCAACGAAATGTTTTGGAACACCTATATCAGCTATGTGAAAAAGTAACTGCTGCCTTAAACGTAACAACTAGCCACCTTTAGCAGCAACAACTGCATGCTGGTTGCCGGCGGCGGCAAGGCGCCACAAGTTCAGGGAACTCCAATTCCCAGAAGCCCTCGTGCTGATTAGGCCCAACCTAGCACACCTGTGGACTCCTCTACTTAAGGCTGTGGCAAACAGCAGCCCTTTGTCACACCTTTGTAGAGGGGTGACCGGTATGGTACTTAGCCCAGGTGGGTATTTAAACAGAACAGAAAAGAAAAGAGGGCTGGAAAAACAAAAGAGAAATTGGCCCAAAACTGCTTAAAAGCCAAAAAGAAGGCTTGAGCAAGAAAACGACTCCAAGCCATACAAAAAAGTGTTTGTTTCACAAAGATCAAACATAAAGCTGATCCTTCTCTGAGAGTCACAGAGGAAGTGTTTTTTGTTTTCTGATTATCTTTTATTTCCCTTTTCTATCTCAGCCTTTGTTTGAGCTGCTTTCAGCATCCCCTTTGTTTGCCTTTTTCCCGCCGTTTTTTTATTTCCCATTCGTTGAGGTGTTTTTCCCGTTTTCACCTGTGCTTCCCGGTGGCGCAGCGTAACTCCTCGGACCACCGATCTGTACGTCAGCAGTTCGAGCCTGGCTCTGGGTCACCTCAACCCCAACATGCACAGTCACCCAATTCACATTCCATCACCTCAATAACTTAAGACCCTTTCTCATGGGTTTTCCTCTCTGCGCTTGGGTCCGCCTCCCTGCCGTCCCGTAACACCAAATACTTCCTATAACTGGAGATTAGCCTTTTATAAAGCGGTGGAATTTTGGCCCTCTCTTCTTTCAGAATTGCTTTAATTCAGCCACTTCGGAGGGTTTTCAATCATAAACTGCCAGTTTACAGTCCTGCAACACCTTCACAATGGGGTGAGGACTTTGACTAGGCCACTCCAAAACCTTAAACCTTGTTCTTGTGCTTTTGCTCTTTGCCTTGCTGCATAACCCAGCTGCGTTTGAGCTTCAGATCACAGACTGATGATCGGACATTGCCCTGCAGGATTTTAAGTAGAGAGCGAGAGCAGCATTTATGGTCCCGTCAAGTGTGGCAAGCTGTCCAGGCCCTGAAGCAGTAAAGCATCCCACACCATCACCATCATCATATTAAAGCATAATGTTTAGCATTTGTCACTCTGTACATATTAGTTATTTGTTACTGGCAAAGACATCACTTGCGTACATTGGCGGATGGTAAGAGGAACAAACTAGTGCTAATTAAGGACTTGGTAAAGACTTTAAGCGCACAGTTTTGCCTAAGTGCAAACTTATGCAAAACCGTTCAACCCAATCCAGATGGGTTTCTGAACATTTAGGGGCCTTCAGTGACCTTCCACTTACTAGCCCCCCCGTCCACCCCAACCCAATCCTATTATTTTGTGTGAATGAAAAAGTATGAATAATTGTTTTTTGATCAGGAAAACAACAGACTTCCCCTATCCTTTCCTAACTACTGGGGTAATTCTGTGGTAATTTATGGTACAATACAGATGTGGCAGATACAGCTTAGGTTGAGTATTTTTTGAGCTTTGTGTAATTGTGTAACTGTTACGTTGGGACCGGAAGTACCTTTTCTCTCAGTTCCTGATTGACCCTGATGAGGTTCTGCTTCTCTTCCACCCACTTTGAGTCCTGCATCACACACACATACAAGCACACAAACACACATCACTAGGATTAACTACTCACACACCCACTTGCAATTACAGGTTAACCACAAACACATTCATGCATCCCACATACGCACGCTCATGGGGAAATATAGCTTAATGTAGCAAAACATACTGTACATACCTAAACAGAGCCACCTACTCAGACACAAACAAGCACACACACACACACACACACACACACACACACACATACATATACATACCTACTCAGTGAAAATAAAGTGAGGAGAGTTACATGTAAGGCAGCGGTCAAGCTTTATTAGGAAGCATGAAGAAAAGTCCACCATGTTTAACAAAGGAAGCACATTAGAAACATCTGGCAACCAAGAAACAAGCAGCAGTATTTGAGACATGCTTAAAGACAAGACGGGAATCATGCATCAGTGAAGTGGAACAATGCGAAGCATGCACAAGTGGAATGGATCGACAGGAAACATGCGAAAGTTGAGTGGAACAATGGGAAACATGCACAATACAACTGGAAACATGCAGTGTAGAGCTGACCAATTAAACCCAAAGCAGCACAGTAACAGAACAGATTTAAATAAAATGAGGTAACATGTTTATGTACATTATAAATTATCTCTATGTAGTAGAGTTGCATTGAACTTCTCTATTCATTTTTTTTCTAGTTTACTACCTATAAGTTCCAATAATGGTTCACAGTCCAGTAACAGAAACCTGTTCTGTTACCACTGAATAACGTCTCAGCATTAGCAATTGCCAACCGTTCTTTTCTCTGGGCCTGGGTATTGGTAAGGTTCGTGTGTGTTTAGACTGGAGGGCTGAGAACGTGACATCACATAATTCTGTAGCAGATCCGCTCCGCATAACGCCAGCACACAAGCACGGCTGCCAGACAGGCAAGCAGCAAAGCCAATGAGAGCGGAGCCAGGGGCTTCTTCTCCCCGCCCCCTTTCTCCATTACCTGCCCCTTCTCGGCCAGGCTCCTCTCCAAGTCAGCGATCCGCGCCTGGCAGGCGCTCAGCTCCGCCTGCAGCTGCTCCCGCGTCTGACGGACAGAGCACACAGCCAATCAGAGAGCCAGCCTGCGGCAGACTGGAGATAGACAGCTTCATTGGGAACGAACGCAATGGGAAACTAGCTTGAACGTGCAGTTGACCGGGACCCTACATTTAGGTGACTTTTCAACAGCTGGGTGTGTTTTGGCTGCGCTAACTGCTCTACCAGCCAGAGGCCACAAGCTCGTTCACTGTCACTCTCAGTAGAATGATGTCTTGTCTTGTCTTGCAGTATTTGAGTGGGAGAAGGTGTAAAGAGACGATCGTTACAAACATGGATGTTCACAATTACGGACTGTGTGAGCTTTAACCCTAATAAGGTAGATATAAAATTATTGCTGCATGTATAATCTTGCTATACAGAAAAAAAAAATTGTCATTTCTTGACAAACAAAAAAAAAAAATGAAGTGTTTGAACCTGTTGATGCAGAATGTAAATCAAAAGTAAATTCATCACACAACTAAACATGTAATTCACTGTTACTGAGTAATTACATTCATTAGTATAGAGGATTATAATGATGTTAACTCTAGATTTCTAGGGCTAAGGGTTAAGCCATATGCTGTGTTTACATGTTGGCGTTGGGGGAAAAAAAAAAAAGTTTTCATGCCTCATAGCCAGACGCCAGGCAGCCATTGAAAACACCTGTAACACTTGAACCTTGCTACATAACATTGTCATAGCTTTGCTATAAACATGTTATGGCAGATGTCAAATGCTGTCATGAATTGTAATTACAGATTTTGTTATATAACATTGTTGTGTTACTGTTACCCATAACTGTCATGACAGACACCATAATGTTCGATGTCATGACAGCTCATGTCACATGTCAATTGTACTCTAGTTAGCTGTCATGATCACCATCAACCATTATTGCATCTGTCATGACAATCAACAATAAAGGCACATAACACTGTTGGGTTACTGAACAAATTCTGTCACGCCAACTCATAACAGTGTATGATATACAGTATGAGTTTATCTGGAAAAACTGAAAACAGTGGAATATCCAGTTTGCCGCTGACCATCTCCCACCAACTTGTTAACGCAGCATTAGAAGGGTTAGCCCAGGGGTGTCCAATCTTATCCGCAAAGGGCCGGTGTGGCTGCAGGTTTTCACTCAAAACAAGCTGGAGGTCACCTGATTCTGATCCTGCATTGTTGGAATGAAAACCTGCGGCCACACTGACCCTTTACGGATAAGTTTGGACACCCCTGGGTTAGCCTTTTGCTACAAATTGTAGCAAGGAGTGGGCAATATGACAGTATTTATTATTTATAATAATTTATTTATTTATTCATTAAGATAAATTACAACACATTACAAAAAATGTCCTGAAGTGTAAGAGAAAAATCTGCATGTCATTGTATGATGATTTAGGGGTACGATGACATGCAGATTTCACAGTATGATACTGTGTAAATCAATTTTTAAATAAATATTTTTTGGTTGTAATTCTGCATTTTTTCTCTTTTGATAGACATATTTTTTGGGGGAACATGCATGGTCTCACATCTCATTACAATAAAAGTAAACAAAAACTGTGTGAGCCATAAGACTACATCTTAATATTAAACTTCTTTACAAGTTTATTTACAGCCAGGTCTTGTTTTAGTATATAAAGTGTGTCTCTTACCTTTTTGAAATAAGTGAGAGGGGGTTTTCTAACATGACTCAATCACTCACAGTAAACTGTGGAATCCAGCACGCTCTACAACCGACTAGCTATTAGAAGCTATAAATATCCCTGTGGAGTTACTTATGTGGCCTGTTTACAATCAACACTTGGCGGCTGTTTGAGTCCTGAGTGGAGAAGTAGCTGCTGCAGCTCATGTTTTCTCCACACTCCGGTACCTGAGACTTTTAAGTGGGTCTTCACAGATGAGTTATCATAGTTCAGCTATTATATAACAGGCATTTGATACTCGCACAGTGCCAGTGTGGAGTCTCACCCACTGCTCATCACTGCTGTATTCATCTGGGACACTGAAGTGCTCCCAAAGAGGAGATGGCTGTTTTCAAACAGCTTGGCTAAATAACCATCCAAGGTAGACAAAGCTGAAGTTAGCTTCTTATTTGAATTCCCCTCAAATTTCCTAACTGCTGCGTTATTTAAGATGGAAAAGAAAATTTGGAAAAGAGGCTGATGAAACCGGAATCCTGTTCTGAGAGCCGCACAGCAAAAGGTTTTTTATGTTCAAAATTTTAGGACTATCATAGATTTCATGGATGTAAAATAGAACTAGAGAAATATAAATAATATAGATATTCGATACACAGTGTGTATCGCGACCCACATATTGTAAGAAATCAACATTAACATTTGTATCGTGACACCCCTAATCGTGATATTACATTTTTGCCAGATCACACACCCCTACTGTAGCTCCTGGAGGCACATTAAGGCGCTTAAAGGTGCACTAGGGTGCAGCAACACAACACTTTTTACCATATCAGAACAATTAGCCTTCCATCTCAGGCCTGATTCACACATGCTACCTCTGCGTGGTGTGAATGATGTGGCAGTGTGAGCCTTTCATCCATACAGTGTCTGACTGTGTCACATAAATCACAAAGTCCAACAAAAATATAATTTATTAATTAATAATGTGCAAAGTATATTTATTTATCCTCGGCCACATTCTGGCAAAAGTTTCAAGCCTGGTAGACCAACCGGAAAATCTGTTTGCAGCACAGAATGTTTAACTAGTATTTCATCATGAATTAATTTAAACGTAAAAAAAGTTTTTTTTAAGTTTGTATACAGCTTTCTGTTTAATTTTTGACTTCCATGGCTTATTTCAGTGTACTTGCTGCGTGATGCACATGGATAAAATTAACGTCTGGTCTATTCTCTAAACACCGCACTGCTTCAATGCGGCGTCTGGGACACTCTGCTGCTTAACATATGCAGCCTGTGTGGAAGCGCTGACCAGTTAACATTGGCACCAAAATGAAAAGCAAGACTTTCAGTGTTGCTCGTGTCACGCAGAAGCAGCATGTGTGAATCAGGCCTCGGGTCTGCTTGTAAATGAAAGCATCTTGATAAGCAAGTGATTAGTACATTGTCGCTTTCAGTACAAAACCTCACCATTGGAGTTACAAGTTTATGTTCCGACAGAGGTGATATTTATACAATCCGTATGACGAATGGCACCACAACAAACTACAGAGACAAAACTGATGTTAAAGACTTTTCTGAATTCTCCAGGCTGGGGAATCTTCCAGTGATGTTAATAATACTGCTAACAAATGAATCAAAAAACACAGCAAAACCAAAAGCTAGCATGCTCGGCGTGCAGCATGGGGGATGTTTGCCTGGGACGTCTCTGGAGTGAGTGGCCATGTGGCAGTGGGATGTGGGGTGTGTGTATGGAGGAGGTTCGTACCCTGCAGTGTCTCTCAGGATCCAGGGGGCCGGTGGTTTCCTGGAGAAGAGCATAGGCTCGCTGCAGTGCCTGGTACTCTCGCGTCAGCTGCCGAAAACGAAGCTCCGCCTCCTCCCGAGAGAAGGCCTGACGGCACAGAAGAGTGTACAAGCACTATAATATCACACATTACTGACTGGTTTTAGGCATATCTAGGGATATATGTTCACTATGTATCAAATGATTGCAAACTTAATATAAAACCAGCTGCAACTTCACTTAGGTTTCAAATAATTAAAAGAAAGCTAGGAGACTACAAAAAAAAAGTTTTAGAGTTTTAGTAGACGTGTCCAGAATGATAATCGCAGCTGTATGTAAGTCTTTAAGTGTGAGGAAGTTGTATAGCATCACAAATGAATTTGCAATAAAATTAATATCCAGTAAGCTACGTATTTTAACCCTTGTGTGGTTGATGTGTTTGTTACTCAGTGGTCTGGTGGACCCACCACATTATTGTTTTTAAATCAATACAGTCATAACAATTTATGTAAAAATACCAGATGTTTGAAATATAGTGCCCAGTGTAGGGTTCTCCTTTAGCAGCTGTAGCCAGTCAGCAGCCTGTCCATGTTGTCCACCCTCACACACACACAAACACCCAGACACACACACACACTAACAGCAGGCCATGTAGGAGGAGAACAGAGTGAAGGACACAGCACCTCCACACTTTTACTCCCCGCAGGTTCACCCAACACCACATGTGTAATATAAATGTGTGGGGGGTGAACAGAGTGAAGACACTGAAAATGGGTTAATTTATATGTTCTTCACAGAAAATGAGCAAAGACCAAGAAATAATAATAAACTTAAATAAATAATAAATAAAAAGCATCATTTTTCTTTTGGTAAACATTGAAAATGGGTCCCACAGACCCCAACACCACACAAGGGTTAAAAATAGTGCTAAAACCTTGAGGAGGATAACTTGACAAAAAATAAATATACATAGATAATTATGGTATATTATTTATCATTTACTAACTTCTGTGAACAGCATTTTACAGGCTTTGAATACTTGTTGATACTTCTGAACAAGTACTCAAATACATGCTCTCAAAATCACCCTAAACAATAACACAATATTTTCCAGATTTTAATTAACTGCTCTGTCTAAAAGCCTTTGCTGATAAAATTTACAACTTTTGTGGCTCAAAAAAGACAGATTTTAAAAATGGATTCCAACATAATGAACGAGTACGTAAATATTTGATTTATTCAGACCTGTCTTACCCAGAATGTTGAACAAATCATCTAAAAATTCTCTCTGGTGTTTAGTTTATATTCTTGACATTAAAGTCTGCATCATAAAAGTTATAATTGTATAAAAGTAGCAAAAATTATTAATATGACAAGTGAAACTTTCAAACTTTTGGATGATGAGGGTATAAAGCGTATATGGTCCATATCTTATAAGTCAGGATTAAGGATTATTTTAAAAATAAGAACAGATCTTAGTCGTGTCGTGTGTCGGGACGCACAACCCTCTGTGTGTACGTGTGTTGTGATATTTTGATGGCTTACATCTTCAAGCTCCTCCTCCGGCGTGGCGGGGGTGTGGTCTGTGTTGTATGACGTCAGAGAGGACGTTTCTGAATCAATAGATTCCTCATCAAATCCAAAATATGTCTCCACAACATGCCTCTGAGAGAGAGAGACAGAGAGAAAAAGAGAATAATAGAGAGAAAGAGAGACATAGAGAGAGATATAGAGAGCGAGCGAGAGACAGAGAGCAAGGGGGGGATTTTTTTTTTTGGGTCAGTACTGTCAGTTTATTGACAGGTAATCTACATGCTGTATCTATGTGCTGTTACTGAAACATGACTGTAGCACTTTTGGTTGCCTCTTTTAGTAACACCATTAAGTGTTTTTGTAACAGAACAGTGGAAATTACACCAACTTCTGATGTCAACTGTCTCGCAACCCCTGTGAAGAAAAAAGACCATTAGTCCCTAGAGTTTATAGATATGTTACACTTGAAAAACATGTTAGGGTTACAATTTATTTATATTTTAAAATAAAACAATAAGTTATTAACAGTTACACCTTCTTGAGCTTCAATTGAGCAATATTGGCTTTTAAATCAATCATATAGAATTCCAAGCCCCACAGAAGAGCTTGTCCCCACAGTCATGTGTGAAGGCTGAGGCCATATTTTGAGAAAAACACATTTTTCTGCTATTTTAACTACAATAAACTGTGCATTACTATAAAATGAGTTAAACGACAAAGAAAACAAATGACAAATTATAAAATATATAATGAAAGTTGTTGTCCCCAGGAGTCGTGTCACTGGTGTTACAGCATAACAAAAAAAAATCTCTTATTTTGAAATAAAAATCACACTGATGACATCACTTGACTTCCTTTTACCTGTTTTCTGAGGATCTATGAAGAAAAGCACATGGTGAGTCCACTGTGTCTTTCAGTTATCAGAGATTTTCTCATTTAGCTCATGATTTCATATGAAGCTTTTAGCTGAAGTCACTGGTGTGACCGACTTTATTCTGAGGTAATTGTGATAAAATAGAACACAAATGGATTAAATTACATATTTTAGTGGATATTCCATGACTGACAACACGTGGTTTGATGCTCTGTAGCAGCCATTTTGTAAAATGCATTTTTCATTAAAAATGTCTCTGGTGTTCCTTTATTATGTGTAACACCAGTGACGATCAGTAACACCAGTGACTCCTAAAGATTAAAAAGTGGAAGTTTTTGTATGTATATGAATATATATGCACACACACACACACACACACACACACACAGCTGCTGTCGGAAGAAAACGAAAATGGTAACTTTACAGGAGAAAGAATGTAAATCAATGGAACCAGAAAATTTTTCAAGTCAATTTGCCATTTGGGCCGTTCCTTTTGGTCAATTCATTGTGAAATTTACACCTAATGTAAAGAGCACCAGGCATTTTCAATTTATATATATATATATACACACAAGAAATTAGTGTTGCTACTGTTCATTGTGACAAAATTACCTATGAATGACCCAAAAGAAATGGTCTAAAATGACTTTCAGAATGTTAACAAGGTTTATTCTTTCGCCTTGAAATTTTTTTTCAGCGACGATATGCATATTATGACACCTCTATACATCACACTCAAAAACAGACATAATTAGAGTTCAAATATCATAACATACATATAAAACAAATCAAACAGCTCACTTTACAGACATACCCTGCTGACCCCAGACCTCTGAGCAGACTGAGGCTGTGTGCTCTTACCATCGTGCTTGTAGGTCATCTCCTGACAGCCAGAGAAATACAGACACACCAGCGCACACAGGCAGATGAAGGAGGAGAAGTAGAGGACCAGCAGGAAATACTCAGTCATACTGACTGTGAGAGTGAGCGCGATCAGTTCAGCGTCATACTTCAACAAGTCTGACAGTCCTAAAAATTCAATCTAAAGCCAGTCAAGCCGAGGTGGATTACGTCTCTGCAGTCTTCACCTTCATCATCTGTGCGACTCTCCACGAGGGAAGTGTGTTCCTGTCTGAGAGTCTGTGTATGTGTGTTTAGTCTGTTTTGGTGATGTCTGATGTTTCCGCTGACTCCTCCTCCTTAGCAACAGCCAAGGATGAACAACCAGGCCCCACCCAACATCATCCTCAAACACACACAGCTGCCCACAGATTACAATCAGTTCATTCTATTCTATTTTCTGCAGTTTAACAGCCTTGAATCAAGACTTGAACTCGTTTTTCTTTACTTCTATATATTAACTTAAAATGACATGCATTCTTTTTCAATTTACTTTCCTACTTTTCTATCTTTCCTTACCTCCTTAAAGAAGTCAACACCACGAAAACCACATTTTCCTCACTTAAAACAATAAACGTGTTTGAGGAGGTATGTAAACATATCGTCACTGTCCAAAGAAAAATATGCATCTTCAAAATAGTAACTTTACAGGAGAGGGCAAAAACTTTCTTTACTTTTCATGTCTTTTAGAGCACTTGCATTGGTCCATTCATCCTGGGATTTTTAATCAATATAAAAAGCAGCCTCTATGCCCAGGTAATGTAGAAAAAAATTGAAAACAAATAGAGATACTTTTTTTTGGACAGTGACAAAGTTTCTAAACATACTATTGATTTCCACAGTCCATAGAGTCTGTATATGGAAACCAAGCCTGCAAAGTGGCCTTTCAAATTCACTGCTTTTGTGATGTCATGAAAACCATTTATATTCATCATCCCCCTTTTCAGCCTACAGCAGTTTAGCCCCACCTATTCACACTGAAGTTATAAGGAGTGTTTCAGCCTAAACTGATTTTTGAATGAGGTGCAATACAAGACAGCCAATCAGAAGAGAGTTCATTTACATAAACGCTTGACAAACGTATGATATGAGCCCTTCACAACTAGCTGAACAAATTAGGACTGTAAGAATAAGAGCCTAGAAAAGAAAGACTGAAAGACAGAGAGAGAGAGAGAGAGAGAAACAGAAAATTAGAGATAGAAAGAGAAAGAGAGACAAAGAGAATGACAGAAGGAAAGTGAGAAAAAGAAGGGGGAGAAAAAGAAAGAGAAAGAAAAAGAAAAGGAGAGATAGAGAAAAAGAGAAAGTCAGCAAGACTGAAAGAGAGAAAAAGTGAAAATAAAAGTGACAGTGAGAGGGAGAGACATAGAAAGAAAGAGAAAGACAGCAAGAGAGAGAGAAAGTGAAAGAAGAGAGAGAAAGGTGGAGCGAAAAACAAAAACAAAGGAAAGAAAGAAAAGAAAAGGAGAGAGTGAAAAGCTGTAAGAGGAAGAGATAGAGAGAAAATAAAAGAGTAAACAGCAAGTGAGAATGAGAAAGTGAGAGAAAAAAGAGAGCAGTGGGAAGAGAGTGACAGTGAAAGGAACAGAGAGACAAAGAGAACGAGAAAGACAGAGAAAAAGAGAGAGTGAGGGAAAGAGAACAGCAAGAGGGAGGAAGAGATAGAAAAGAGACAAAAAAGGAGAGTTAGAGAGAGAGAGAGTGAGAAATCAAGCAAGAATAAACAAGTGAGAAAATGAGAGAGAGAAAGTGAGAGAGAGAAAGAGAAACAAAGAGAGAGAGTAAGGCAGAGAGAGAGGGATAAAAGCAAGGGGAAGAGAGTGAAGGCGAGAACAAGAAAGACAGAGAAAGTGAAAAAGAGAAAGAGCAAGGTGAAGAGAAAAGGAGAGCTAGAGAGAGAGAGAGCAAGAGAGAGGCAGAGAGAGCGAGCAAGAGAGAGGCAGAGAGAGCGAGCAAGAGAGAGGCAGAGAGAGCGAGAGAGGCAGAGAGAGAGAGAGAGAGAGAAAGAGAGAGAGAGAGGCAGAGAGAGAGAAAGAGAGAGCGAAAGAAAGGCAGAGAGAGCGAGAGAGCGTGAGAGAGAGAGAGGGGCAGAGAGAGAGAGAGAGAGAGAGAGAGAAAGAGAGAGAAGGCAGAGAGAGCGAGAGAGAGGCAGAGAGAGAGAGAGAAAAAGAGAGAGGCAGAGAGAGAGGCAGAGAGAGCGAGAGAGAGGCAGAGAGAGAGAGAGGCAGAGAGAGAGAGGCAGAGAGAGAGAGAGAGGCAGAGAGAGAAAGAGAGAGAGGCAGAGAGAGAGAGAGAGAGAGAGAAGGCAGAGAGAGAGAGAGAGAGGCAGAAAGAGGAAAGTTTTCCTTCGAGTTCTCAGGAGGTTAATTAAACGGCAGGTAGACTGTTCCTTCTTTTCTCTCACACACACTCACCTCTCAAAGGAGACGGTTGCTTGGCGACAGAACACAGAGTCACATACATACACACAACACAGAGCTCACACACCCCACTTTCACTGTCATCATAGCGCAGTATATTAGTGAGCGTAACTGTTTCTAAACGGCTGCTCTTGCTCACCTTCGGCAGTCTGATATTTTTCCTCTTGTTCCTTTTGTTTATCATCAGTCTGTCTCGCTCCTGAAACCAGACAGAAACATCACATTACAGAACAGTTTCATAAAACACTTCACTCACTGATCAGGCTAAGAGGGGCTTTGATAGTAGGACTATCTATTATATTAGTAACGGAAAAGTATTTTTTTTAAAAAGGCCAAAAAATAAAATGAACCGAACAAAAGCAATGAAGAGCCTTTCAAAAATCTCTAAATATTTTAGACTTGCGCCTTTGAAAAGACTTAATAGACTATAGGCCAGTTTTCCAGACCCAGTTTAGGCCTAAATCAGGAGACGGCAACACGTGGCTCTTTCTCTGCCCTGTTGTGGCTCCAGAGCAGAATCATATTTTTAGGTAAAAATAAAATAATCCTCCTTTGCAGTAAAATAAAGCTCTGCTGATCGTTCAACACAGTTTAACAATAAATGGTCTTCAACGCTGGAGTTAATGTAGAACTGCTAATTCACCCTTTAACCCTGAAGATCAGCGCAGACTGCTGGTCACCACAGCAACACAGACAATCTCGCCTAGCTAGTAGCTCACGAAACGCCAAAGAGAGAGTTTTAACACGAACATCAATAATTTGGAGAGGAATGGACTTATTTGCATTTTTAATCTCTCCAGCTGGTTTCCTGATACGATTAATCTGCAACGAGAAACTGTCAAACAAGGCTGAAGCCAGTTTCTCGCTCACCAGCGTCTTGTTTCAATTTCCCTATTCCACTTTAAATGGTGCAACAGTTAGCTATATAGAGAGCTACACTCTGGCGTCTCAGGCACCATTTAAGGTGGAACGGGAAAATTCGAATTAAGTTTACTCCAGCCTCATAAAAAGTCGAACGTTGAGAGACATTTTACGAGAAGCTTTTCTACTTTTGCGGAAAAGTTTCCTGCTGGAGATGCGAGAAAAGCGACTGATCCACTCGGACCGGCGCAACACACACTAACAAACCACCACCACATCAGTGTTACTGCAGTGCTGAGAATGATCCACCACCCAAATAGTACCTGCTCTGTGAGGGTCCAGGGGTCCTGACCACAGGGTAAAAGGGGGCTAACAAAGTATGCAGAGAAACAGATGGACTACAGTCTGTAACTGTAGAACTACAAAGTGCACCTATATAGTAAGTGGAGCTGATAAAATGGACAATGAGCGTAGAAACAAGGTCATAACGTGGTCATAATGTTATGCCTGATCGGTGTTTACCATCACATTTGCAGAGGCACATTTTATGCCCCCCATAGTGTGCAGGTCAGATTCAGAGCAGGGGTTACTGAGGTGGCTCTCAGTGAATATACAGTGAAGTTACAAGAGCGGCTTAACATTTTGGCTAAGAATGGATTTGAGGATTATGACGATGAAAAGGGGGTGAATGAGGAGGCATGACAAATCGCTAATTAGGCCTCAGATTAATGAGGTAAACATCCTAATTAACAAACAGAACGCTGATTACTCAACAGAATTAATCACAGTGTGAGACCAATTAAGGCACTCATACAAGAAGAGGAGTGAACAGTGGTGACCTCTGAATGTACAGAAGGTCACTGATTTTATTTTGGTGGTAACGACTTTGGCATTCCAGATTACACACAGGTTATACTTCCTTAATTTGGCCTTATGCATTGTAAAACTGTGCACCATGTTTATAGGACAAATAAGAAGCTACCAAAAGTTTTTTTGTTTTTTTTTTTTAATTTTTACCCGATTTTTCTCCCCAATTTAGTCGTCTCCAATTCCACCCGCTAGTTAGGACTCCCCCAATCACACACGACGCTATCAACGCTAGGAGGGTGAAGGCTAACACAGGCTTCCTCCGAGACCTGCGAAACCAGCCACTGCATCTTTTTCGAGCTGCCGCTCACGCAGCGTCATTTGGACAGCCGAACGCGCTCGGAGGAAAGCGCCAACCGCCAGATCTGTTACCTCAGCTAAGAGACGCCTGCGCTGACCAGCATCGCGCTTAGTGAGTGATGGGGGGAGAAGGGCAGCCATCCCACCCGACCCAGAGAGAGCGAGGCCAACTGTGCTCTCTCGGACTCCCGGCCACGGATGGCTGTAGCATCACCAGGGATCGAACTGGCGATCTCCTGATGATAGGGCCAACGCTTAGACGGTTGCGCCACTCAGGAGCCAAGTGGTGACAATTTTTAGTGTATTTCTGAATATGGTCCGTTTGCTTGGTATATCACATTACTGACTGAGTCCACCAGCCAATCTTTGTCCACTGAGTTGAAAATGTGCGTCACCTCTTAAATTAGAGAAAATAAATAATTTGGTATAACTAAACATGTTAAACTGCCTGCTCGACTTATCAGTTTCTACTATCTGTATTTTTTATTTTTGCAATAATCATTCTGTGCTTTTACTGTATTCAGTAGCCTGTCACTCTTTATGTATTAATGAGTGGTGGTCAGCGTTCACTGTTACCCCATTAAAAGCGATTGCGTTCAGCTTGTTCTACCATCAGTGGTGGAGGAAAAGGCACCCTCAGTACCAAACTACGTTTATAATATATATACACTACCTAGTCCTACCCCCAAGGCTATTTCGTGGGGTAGGACTAGGTAGCGCATATATTATAAAGCAAGCCTTAATTGGGTCCTTTAGAGTGAATGGGTGAAGATTTTAAGTACGGACTGCTGTGAAGTGGAAAGCATGTTTATTTTTGCATTCATGTTTGCCTGATGAACAGGAATTGTGGTTAAACGAGCACAGCAAATTCACCACATTCAGCCTTCCACGGTGAAACAGCGAATAAACTTTTTTTCCTCAGTAGAACAATATTAAATACAGTTACCAGTATTATCTTGGCCCATACATGCATTCGCCAGGGTGTTAATTATCTTCCCATTAATTAGCAGCTACTAGATTTTGTGCTGACTCAGTCATAGCGACGCACAGCCTGCATCTGTATGGGATAATATCACACATCGAAAAAAACAAGATGGCGCAAGTGGCTTAATAACATCAGATTTCATTCCACATTATCAAGTTTCAACCCATATATTCAGACATTCACTTCATATTCTCATGGTTCATTCCATATATTCAGAGTTTTCAGTCATTATATGGATATAAAATTTCCTAAACGGCATGGCAGTGTATATATGTATATATCTTACTGCTATCAGAAACAAAACCTCGTATCTCCAACATAATAGCTTTATAGGAGAAGGAAAAAACATACTTAATTTTTAATGTAAGTCAATGGAGCCACTCCCCAAGTAATTTTTGACTGTTTCTTTTGGTTCATTTATCATAAATTTTACACACGATGTAAAGGATAACAAGCATTTTCAGATTATATCAAAAACTGAAAAAATACCCACACACATATACATGTGTGTATTGAATACGCTATAGGCCGCGGCGGGTAGCGCTGTTCGATTCCCGGCCGTGTGGAAGTTTCTGTGTGGAGTTTGCCTGTTCTCCTCATGTCTGTGTGGGTTTCCTCCGGGTACTCTGGTTTCCTCCCACAGTCTAAAGAGATGCAGTCAGGCTGATTGGATATGCTTAATTGCCCCTAGGTGTGAATCTACATGTCTGCTTGTCTGCCATGATGGACTGGGGACCTGTCCAGCGTGTATCCTGCCTTCTGCCCAGTGACTGCTGGGATAGGCTCCAGCTCCTCCCACGACCCAGAAGGATAAACGGTTTGGAAGGTGTTTGTGTGTGTGTGTGTGTGTGTGTGTGTGTGAATATGGTACGGTACTGACCATATTACTTCAGTACTTCCAAGTATCAAAAAATGATGTCACTCAATACCTTTAAATATCCAATGTCTAAACCACATTCTGTATGCTTGTTATTAATGTCAGCACGTTTGTTTAGACCCAGGCCAGGATATGTCGGCTGCGCCGCCACTTCCCCCTTCTAGGCCGTTTACATAAAGCAATATAAAAAATAAAATGTGGCATAACTTTTGCACAGGCCACGTTCTACGTTTTATTTCTTTCTAATATGTTAAATTTAGTAAATAAACAGTAGTTGTGCAGTAAAATGTGCAGAAATGTCTTCTCTGTAGACGAAATCAACAAAAAGTAATTTGACCATGGGTGCCCAAACTTTCGCATATCTTTGGTATACACCTGTGTGTGTGTGTGTGTGTGTGTGTGTGTGTGTGTGTGGTGTGTGTGTGCGTGTGTATTTGTGGTAACACACCTGCGTGAGCTCCTCGATGACGCTGCGCTGTTCGCTGACCTGCAGCCGCAGAAACTCCACCTCCTGCTGCTCGTGGGCGTGGCTTAGATCAGTCAGTGAGCTGGGCCTCTTCAGCAGTGCATGCTGGGATTCGGAGTTCACCTTCTCCTTCTGAGAGAGGAACAGTGGTTTGAAGTGCTCCTGTATGTGAGGTTGTGAAGGTGCGTCTGTGTGTGTGTCACTCACCAGTTCAGCGTTCTCGCGGCTGAGGGACTTCAGCTTGTCCTCCATGCGCTGCAGGGTCTGCAGGAGCTCTTCATTCTTTTTACTCATCCGTCTGTTCTTCTCTAACAGCGGCTTCATCTGTCCATCAGTTTCTCGCACGCGCTTCAACTGAGAAAGAGTAAGAAAGTAATTAAATGAACTCAGGTGAGTCAAGGACATAATACAGCGATGTGTGGGGACAAATAAAAATACATCTGTTCATATGTGTCCGTTCACTGTCACGCTTAGCAGTGGTGCCTCTGGCGTAATAATAATTTCTTTGTATTTCTATTTACGTATGATTTCTTGCTCCTTTGTTGAGACATGATCATTTTACATGATAAGCCGGAACGTCACAAAGAAATGGCAGTGGTGCTGTGGCATTCTTCTATTCACATGGTAATTGCATGTGTACTATCAATCAGTTTAATAGCAAACGAATTGAAGCAATTTGCTACTAAGAAAATATGACTTTAAAGGACCAAAGTGTCTGCCTGCACCCAAAGGTCAGCCCTGATTGGTCTAAGATCTGCTTAAAATCAAGAATCTCAAACTTAACCTACCACAGAGCACATCAGGATGTATGATGTATGAGCTTTGGGCACCCAACTCCCTGTCCCCGGTTCGTGGTTTGTCCTTCCTCGGTACATTGTCGGTAGGTACTCATCACTGCTGACCGTGAGTACCCCACAAGTCTTGCTGTTTCAGGGATGTGCCAGCTCAGCTGTCTAGTGTCTAACGATTGCACCTTTGTCAAAGTCGCTCAGGTGTTCACGCTGCCCGTTTCTCCCATATCCAACATGTCGACTATAAGATCCTAATGTCTGAGGCTTTGTTCGCACAGCAGGTAAAAGTCTTTTCCTTCATATGTGACGCAGATGTGTTCTGAACATCAAGATCGGAATTTGTGTGACTTTTATGTTAATCCAACTCAAGATTTGTCATACTTTCATGCTGCTGAGACCTCAAACATTTAGGCTGATGTTTCTGTAAAAAACTTAGAAGAACCGCAACTGCTCCGTGAGGTTTCGAAAGACATGGCTGAACGCAGCTGTGGGAGAGCGAGGCTGCAGCGTCAAAAAAGAAAGTTTCAAGAATCTTACTGCTATCAGAAACAAAACCTTTGGGGCTCCCGAGTGGCGCAACCGTCTAAGCGTTGGCCCTATCATCAGGAGATCGCGAGTTCGCGAGTTCGATCCGTAGCCGGGAGTCCGAGAGAGCACAATTGGCCTCACTCTCTCTGGGTGGGTGGGATGGCCCCTCCTTCTCCCCCATCACTCAGCGCGATGCTAGTCAGCGCAGGCGTCTGTTAGCTGACGTAACAGATCTGGCGGTTGGCGCTTTCCTCCGAGCGCGTTCGGCTGTCCAGTGACGTCGCGTGAGCGGCAGTTCGAAAAGAAGCGGTGGTGGCTTCACAGGTCTCGGAGGAAGCCTGTGTTAGCCTTCACCCTCCTAGCGTTAACAGCATTGTGTGACTGGGGGAGTCCTAACTAGCGGGTGGAATTGGAGACGACTAAATTGGGGAGAAAATCGGGTAAAAAAAAAAAGAAACAAAACCTCGTATCTCGTATAAAAAACATACTTAATTTTTAATGTAAGTCAACGGAGCCTCAATGGAGGACATGAACCAGAGAAGTGACCGTGGCCGAACAATGTGCACCTTTTACGGTGGCTCATTCTGGGTGATGAGCCCAGCTGTCAGTCAGTGAAGCTTCATGATGGCTCCTGTGATGCTGGTGAAGATGAAGCTGAACCCTGGGGAGTGACTGGTGTTCGTTGGCAGTCGTGATTGTTTACCTCTGGATGAGCCACATGAAGCAGCATGAAGCTCTGTTCTTTTGCGCATGTGGGTCAGTTTAGGAGCTGATCTGTTCAGATTTGGTGAGAAAATCAGACTTGAGCCACTTTTACCTGCTGTGTAAATGTAGCCTAATATATATCCCAGACATTTATGTGCTGTTTTTATGAGATCATCAATGATTTTCACTTCATCTGTGGGTGGTCACTATGTTTTGGCTCATTATCTCATGTTGTGTTGGTTGTCAAATTGAAGCTTGAAAAACATAAAACTAGTTGCTTCTAAACTTTTTGCCTGTAGTGCTCAAGCATGACTTTGTGAGGGTGTGTGTGTGTGTGTGTGTGTGTGTGTGTGTGTGTGTACCAGTTCAGTCCTCTCATCTGACAGTAGTGTGTTTCTGTCTTCTAGCTTCCTGATGACAGCCTGCAGCTCTGCGATCTTCAGCTGGAACCTGCGAGTGTCCCTCTCATCTACCTCCTACATACACAGACAGAGCAGACAGACAGATACAAACAAAAAAGTGGCCCAGAAAGATCAATCAGATATCAAACACCAAAGCAACCTTGAAGTGTGCATCCTGTAATTTACTTAAACAGGGTAAATCATACAGCTGTATGCAAATGTTTGAACGCCCCCTGGCCGATTATATGTTTTGCTGATTTTCTAAGCAAAAAAAGTTCATGCAACTATGCAACTTTTAGTGCATAGTTTTTATTTATTTGCTGAGTTTTATATATAGGATGATTCAAAAATTTCTTTCGATTTCAAAGCGCCATATTTTTACAACCGTGAGGCGCCTAGGAACCAATCACATACCAATTGAAAGAGGGGGTCATAAAGTTTCTAACTGGCTCCCTTCAGTCTGTGAGGAGATGAGACCCCTGAGCAGAAAGCGTTCTGTGTTCTCCACTTCAATAAGAGTGAATCCGTCAGAACTGTGCAGTGTGATTTTCGCGGGCAGTGAAGCTCCAACAGCTCAGAGCGTTCGCTCTTGGTTCCACAACACTGGATGATCTCAGAAATCGCGCTGAAAGAGCCGTGAGTGCAGAGACACCCGACATGCTCAATCCAGTATGGGATGAATTTGATTACAGTGTTGTTGTTGTCTGTACAGCTGAAGGAGGTTCATACTGAGACCTTGTACAACTACATCATAAACTTTATGCTCATTTAAACCATTTACAGTTCACTGCATTGATCTGTAATGATTTACGCATGAAATAAATTATTTTGAAATCAGATGAATCTTTTTGAATCACCCTGTATAAAAAATTAAAACCTAAAATTTAAGATGTCCCATAACTTTGGCACAGGGCACATTTTAGGTTGTATATTTTCCCAGTATGGTAAATTCAGCAAACAAACAGTAATTTTTCATTAAAATATGCAAAAGACTGTTCTCTCTAGGAGGTGAGTTATAAGAAGCTTGCAGCTGTTTTTGTTACTGTGCCTTTAAGACTAATATTTGTGAATGACCTCTGTTCTGATTGGTTTTCCTGTACTGTACCTCATGTAAAAACAATCCACACTAAAACACTCCTTATGACTAAATCTTGCTTGGGCAGGGCTAAACTGCTGTCAGCTGAATAGGTGGATATGTAAATGAGTGGTTTCTGTGACATCACAAAAACAGTACATTCAAAACTGGCTGTTTCCCTACAACCATAAGTACTGGAGCATGAATGGTACATTTTTTTGAATTTTTTTAAATGTTTACAAATTACCATTAACATCTTTTATTTCAAAAACAAGGAAAATGAGGCTTTCATGATTCAAAACAGTACTAGCAGCAATCTTGAAGCCTGAAATCTGTACTTTTGTCCATTTTTATAGAGCTGTATGTTTAAACATGTACACAATTTTCCCCAATCAATCAGCCAAGTGAACAAAAATACATAATGCAGGCATCAAATTCGCTGCTACTGTTGTTATCAGCAGATGTATTTTTTCCCACTTTAATTGACAACAGTAGGCCACACAGTGTCAGAAACCACATATGCAAGTCTATTTGAGATTCCTTAATAACATGGTTTGAAGCAAGTGTGGGAAAGGGCATGTAGAGTGCACAATGCTAATTGGTATGCATAAGCTTTCATCACATTAGCTACATCAGCAAATTTTGGACACCAAACATGCCTTGCCTGACCAACTACATTTGAAGTGAAGGGAAAACTGTATACGTTTTTTGGTGAATTATCGCTTTAACCCTTGTGTGGTGTTGGGGTCCGTGGGACCCATTTATTTAGAAATCTATTATTATTTCAGCCTCAGATTCTCAGCCTTTGCTGATTTTCTGTGAAGAACATATAAAATAACCCATTTTCAGTGTCTTCACTCTGTTCACCCCCCACACATTTATATTACACATGTGGTGTTGGCTGAACCCGCGGGGAGTAAAAGTGTGGAGGTGCTGTGTCCTTCACTCTGTTCTCCTCCTACATGGCCTGCTGTTAGTGTGTGTGTGTGTGTGTGTGTGTGTGTGTGTGTGTGAGGGTGGACAACATGGACAGGCTGCTGACTGGCTACAGCTGCTAAAGGAGAACCCTACGCTGGACACTTGTGATATTTTAAACATCTGGTATTTTTACATAATTTTTATGGATCCTATCTATAGTTTTGTTTACCTATGTGTAAATACTGTTCTCTGCATAATTTGTGGAACTCGCACTCAAGTTTTTCACTCACCTGTGTCCCTGTACTCTTGTGATGTGACAATAAATCTGATTTGATTTGATTTGATTTGGCTGTATTGATTTAATAAAACAATAATGTGGTGGGTCCAGCAGACCACTGAGTAACAAACACATCAACACCACTCAAGGGTTAACAATATGTGTTCAGAACAGAGAGCAGGAGTGACCTGGCTGCTGATGGAGTCACAGTTCTCTCCGAGGGTAGGAACGACCTCTCTCTTCGGGCTGCCGTGGTGACGCTCGGCCTCCCTCTGCAGCAGCAGCCTCTGGGTCTGACCTGCCTGCACGCCCAGCTCCTTCTCCAGAGCCTGAACCACACGGTCCCTCCCCCGCAGCTCCTCCATCTAACACATGCAGGCATTAACAGCCCAAACACGTATGAAACATGAAGCAGACCCTTTATGTAAGAAGTCTTCATGGTAAATTGTGTTAAAGATTCATAAAGTCTTAGAAGTACAGAGGTATTATTGTCATTTGGCTACATGATTTCGAGTTACATTACATAATTATTCAACAATAATTACGCCAAATTAATAACGCAGCTACATAATAAATCAAATTTGCATTCACTTTTCAGTCACTATCAACAGGTTTGAGTGTGTATTCCAGCATTTTGCAGTCCTTTTTCTACTTAGGCCTAGGCGGTATACCAGTAATAAGGGGTACCACTGTATTTAACGATGAAGTTTTTTTCAAAATTATGACGTTTCAAATTTCTGTTCCATGTTTGAACTGCCAAAACATACACATGCCACCTATTTATATTCTAGAGGGGCTAACAATTTATTTTCAACTGTCGCTCTAACACCTGTCACGAGACTTTGTGGTCTCAGATATCCTGTAAATCAGGGGTGTCAAACTCAACCGCTAAAAGAGCCATATTTAAAAATCTCAGCAAATCTGTGGGCCAACTGTGTTTTTATTCAATTTTTTTACCTGCCATGAACCGAACAGGCCATTGTTTATTCAAAATCCCTGATAGCAAGAGGACAGTGGACCACCATCGGCTCGCTGATGGCAAAGCTGGTGGCCCACTGGTGTTTTGCTCAGCATTTTCTGGGTGGCCCACCAGTGGTTAAGCGGAGTATTAGACAAAATTCCACTTACCATCTCTCATTTTCCACTCGCAGTCCAATTTACTTATTTCTCCTTCCCTCATTTCTTTAGTTATACTTTGTATATCAGTTTAGTAAACAATTTTAATCTAGCTCAGGGTCAGCAACAACATTTTCTATAAAATCATTCTATATTAGACCTAGTCATATTTTTTTCTTCTCAGTTATCTGGAATATTTGTCTTAGTTTATTTTACAAAATAAAAGTCTCTGTGCATCTGTTTGGAGAGATTAAAAACTAGTTAGAGCTTGTATGCAGGACAGTAATCTGGGTGGTCCGAGGGTGGACCAGCAGTGGTAAACAGTGAGCGGGGTGCCAGCCTTTACAAGCCAGCGGACCGATATATGCTCACTATCTGGGATATGCCAAGACTGCAACAGCACAATAGGCACTGAATACTTATTCAGAAATAATACTAAATAAAAAAAAATGTTTTGGGTAGTTTTTTAAAACTGCCTATTTGCTTGAAATAGACATCAGGCATCTTTTCTTTTTGTGTAACTGCCCATAGATTGTTGTTGGGTGTCAGAACACACACTATGTTGCAGTGCATGCTGGGGACTGTAGTGCGTCTCAGGGTGAAACAGGCTAATAAGAACAGAAAATAAAAATAATTTTGCAGGTCGAATAGCACTGTGTCACAGGCCTGACTCGGGCCGTGGGCCTTGTGTTTGACATTGTCACTTAGCGGAAACCAAGCCTGCAGTGTGGCACATTTAGCCTGCTAACTAAGCTATCATTAGCTTAGCCAGAACGCTAGAGTCCCAAACACCACAGAACAGGTTTGATTTCTGCCACTCCAACACTGATCACTCGACAGATGTTAGTTTTTATCATGTAAACCTGTTTCAGAAGAGTATCAGTTAGTCAGAAACCTGTACTGTGGTGAGTGGTAACGTTTGAGTCTGTAGCCTGCTCGCTAAGCTAATGTTAAGTTAGCCGATCAGGATACAGATCCAAACACCTCAGAAACCTACAAAACCTCAGAACAGGTTTACTATATTGTCTCTGTCCCTTTAGTGACAGTTGGCTGACTTCACTACCTCAGAACAGTTATGATCTAAACTTGTGTCGGTGCTTTAGTAAGGCCCAATCCCATTTCTTCTTTTTACCCCTACCCCTTGTTTTCCAGTGTCACCCTAAGGGGGTAGTGGTTAAATTTTGTCCTACAAAATGGGGCCCTCAAATTAAAAAAAAAGAGAAAACGAAAAAAAACATTGCTTCATTAACAGGCTATCAGCGCTGCTCTGTAGTCTGCAGTGACAGCAGAGGAGGGTAAAGTTCAGCTCCTCACTGCTGGGCTTTAGTTACATTTAGGGCATCATATGCTCTCAAAAAGGGGGGCAATTATTTATTATCACCCACCGCTAATTCTTTGGTGATATGCAGCTGAATTAGCCTATTCACCAGCTTCTCATTTGAATTTTCCCGTTCCGCCTTAAATGGTGCAGCAGTTACATTCTGGCGCTTCAGGCGTCAGAACTGCTGGACTATTTAAGGTGGAACAGGAAAGTTAGCTAGCTAGCTACCGAGACATTAAAATACTATTAGCGATTTTTTTATGCTTGTTATGAAGAAAACGACCATAATACACTGAAATGACGTTAAACTAAGATAATACAGTGGTTATCGTAATTTTTGGAGATAATTGTGGGTTTCTTTAGTTGCTCGCGCAGCCATCTTGCCGGTTTTTCTTTTTTTCTCATAACACTCTGTTTGGAGTCTCTGAAAATCCTCCGTTTGGAGGGCCATGTAGCCCTAACACTTCGCCCTCCCCCTCTATCTCAACAAAAATTGGGACACCCTACCCCTAGACATGTACACGCAAAACAGTGGGCTAAGGGCTAAGTGGTAGGGGCGAGGGGTGAAATGGGATTGGGCCTAAGTCAGAATCGAAGAGGATACCACTCAACCCTACTTTTACTCACACAAATAAGGAATCAAATTAAAGTTTAGAATCTGTATTTTGGACAACATTTTCTGTGTAGTACTAAAAGTAAAAACATAGTGCTCAAAAGCAGATCGTCATTGTTCAAAGAAAAATAGTAGAAAAATTGTTCTCCAAAATAGTAACTTTACAGGAGAGGGCAAAAACGTTCTCTGCTTTCAATGTAAGTCAATGGAAAAAGGTTTTATTCTAAGCAATTTTGGAGCATTTCTACTGGTCCAATCATCATGAATTTGTCACACAATGTAAAGGACAGCTGCTGAGCTTGAATGATGCAGAAAAGTAAAAATAGCAAAAAATGGAGATACATGTTTTTCATTGGACAGTGACGATATACTGCAAGGGGGACCAAAGGGACTTAATGCTAAATTGGACATACAGTATTACAGCAGCTCACTCCAACATACCAATACTGAGCTAAAAAATCAGATGTCATAATGTCGTCAGTTCACCGCAGAAAGATGTCACGTCACAGCCTAATGTAAAAGATTCTATGCCACTTAACATCACCATTGTGTCAAATGGACATCAGAACTTATGAAGCCTATATTACAGCTGACACCTGCTGGATTGAGCCTTTACAAATGTCTATGCAGATTTATGCCAGCTGCTTAAGTAGGCTTATGAACAATGGCCTTCTGCAGTAAACAGTGGACATCTACAGTTGTCTTGGCTCTGCAAGGCTCCACATTTTCCAGCTCACTCGCTTTTTTTCCTCTTTCTTTCCACAGCTTACGTCACTTAAGCCTCATGTGTCAAACACACGGCCCGCAGGCCAGATCAGGCCCGCGACACAATCTTATCCGGCCTGCAAAAGTATTTTAATTTTCTATTAACATTAGCCCGTTTCACAATGTACTGCACTACAGTCCCCAGCATGCACTGCAACATAATGTGCTCTGACTTTCCTACCCCAACAACAATCTATGCAGAACAGCAGTTATACCTCAATTCTACACAGTTCCACTCCAGTCATTTCACCAAAATGCATTTCAGCTTCAGTTCAACCAACATAAATACTTAACGTGAGCTCAGAAGCTCAGAAATTGGAACCAAGTCTTAATGAACCTGTATTAAAGAAAGGATGTGAGGTGTCTAGTTTAAGCAAATAGGTAGGTTTGAGTGACCGAGCACCGGGGGACATTTAAATTTTGAATATTTAAAGTGTCCATGTAATATTTTAAAGTTTACTACGACGTTTTTGCATATTTCAAATAAACAATGGCCGGTTCGGGATAGAGCACAACATTAATTAAAAATGATTTTTTAATGTGGCCCTTTTACTGGTCGACACCCCTGACTTAAGCAGTCTGCCTGCTGACAGGCTGCAGAACAATGCTCTTACTGCCCTCTACTGGTTTGGTATGGAGTGGTAACCAGAAGAGCTAGCAGTACTGGCAGTACTACATGCATGTCTTGCTTTGATGTTTTGCCCTCGTGGATCTCATACAATATGTACACACTTTAACATAACTGCAATCTGCCTTAAATTACTAATTTGACATTAGTCAGGAAAAACTAGGGGGTATTTCAACAAGCAAGACTAAAAAGCCCCCAGTTTTCCTGTCTCTTAGCTCCCAACACACCTAAAACAGGCAATTAAGATCTGAATTGTACTCTACTGGGATTGAGGATGCAGGAAAAACACATAGCATCTGGTGGGTTGGATGTGGAACCACTGGTTTAAACCTAAAGAAAGCCTGTCTAATAGGTGAAGAGGTAATTCTGGCAATTCTGCTCAATTTTATTAATGTTAAAACTCAAAACTGTCCAGCTTATTGAGAAATATTGCTTTATGAAATGCCTCACTGGTGTTATATGCTGGATTTCTCCATGATTTCACACCTTACCAACACTAACTCCCTGCCTCGCAGTCTGATTATCCATTTATCCATCCACTGTTTATGAGCAAGAGTGTAAACGCACTGCTGCATCAATTGTATTGATTTGGAAATTTCAGATTCAATTATAATAACAGTCAATAAAGAATGTGTTCATATTACGCCTAAATAAAATTCTTGGGCATTTTTAAAAAACTGAATTTCATTATGCACCAAATAATTGAAAATCATTTATATAACTAATTAATAACTAATTATTTTGTGGTCATATACTTGCACCTCCACTCACCAGCCTGCGGATGTCTCTCTCGCTCTCTCGTTTGATCCGCTGGATCTCCTCTTGATGGGCCTGGTGGGCCACCCTGAGGTCAGCTGCTTTGGCCTTGTCGGCCTGCACGGCATTGGCGAGCGCCTCCTCGGCCTGCTTCCGGGCCACCTTGGCCTCCTGCAGCTCCTGCGACAGCTTCAGCCTCTCGGCCTCGTGGCTCCTGCGTGCCTCCTCGCGTGCCTCCTCCCTCAGGGCGTTCCTCAGCTCCGCGCTGGCCCCGTCCCGCAGCACACTGACCAGGGCCTGAAGGCGAGCCAGCTCTGCCTCATGCAGGCGGCCAGCCCGGGACAGTTCAGCGTCGTGCTGCCTGCACATCGCCTCCCGCACCGCCGCCACTTCCCGCTGCTTCTCCTCGTGCAGCTTCACCCGCAGCTCTGTCAGAGCCACAGAGTGCTTGTGCTGCTCAGTTTCCCGCTGGGCTCGCAGCTCCTGCACCCGCTCCCGCAGCTTACTCACCTATAGAGACGCAGAGGCAGTGAGTGAGCTAGGACCACACTTAAGAGTTCATGTTATTTGCCTGTTTTAAGCTTAAATTTACAATGACATAAAGGAGTTTTAAGAAGTAGAATAGAATCAAAGTTCACCATGAAGAAATACTTCACCAAAAGAAACTAATGTAGATGTAATGTATCTTTAAAAAGGGTTCTTTAGCAAAAGCAATGGTTATATATACTTATGCAAACATTTAAACACCCCTTGTCATATTACATTTTGCTCTTCTACAGAGAACAAACTTTACTATGACATTTTTCAGCAAATTTGCACAATTCCTATTTATTTGCTGAGTTTAACATATTGGAAAAAATAAAACATAACAGATAAAATGCACCAAAACTTTTTTACAGGCCACAGTTTATGTTTATCTTTTCCCAGAATGTTAAATTCAGAATATAAACAATAATTATGTATTAAAATGTGCAGAAGTGTGTTCTCTGTAGAGGATGGGTTTCACTTATTTTCATTTAGAAAATCAACAGAATGTCATTGGACCAGGGGTGCCCAAACGTTTGCATATGACTGTAGAAGCACTGGGCTTCATTCACTAATATCTTAATATAATATATGTTTTTTTCTTAAATTTGTTCTTTAGAAAGGTCCTGAGAAAAAGTCTACATCAGATATTCATGATGTTTTCTTAAACTTTAAGCCACAGACCCTTTGTGCTCTTGAGTGTGTGTGTAGATTCTGTTCTTACCTAAGAACAAATACCGGATAAGAATATTGATTTTAAGAATGATTTTACTTCCAATATCTTTTATTAATAAAACAAATGGAAGTGATGTGGTAAGTGAACCAGAAGGCTCTCATTCACGGCTCTTGTTTGGAGCACGTGAGACACTGGCAGCCACTCATCTGTGATAAAGTGTGCTGTGACTGTGACAGAAGATCCAGTGGCAGTGGATGTCCACGCAGCACGTTACAGCCGTCCTACCTGTTTTCTATTTTTCTGATTTTGTAACTTTAGTCTTGGTCTTGTTGTAGAGAGTGGGGGGATCCCTGTGTCAGTAAAATATCTTCAAGACTGGACGATGTATCTCGGCTCCAAAGTGTGCAACATAGCGCGAAAGCCCTGGTTCTCAATGACTGAGAACTGGTGTGCAGACTGCAGGTCACACAGCAACGAAGTCTCGACGTTACGAAACGGCAAAGAGAGAGATTTAAGACCAACATTTGGAGACGAAAGGACTTATTCGCATTTATAAGCAGCGGAGTCGGTTTCCTGGAATGTTAAACCTGCGAGGAGAGACTGTCAAACAATAAAACGTTGCGAAGATGAAGTCGCTTCTCTTTCGAATTTTCCCGTTCCACCTTAAATGGTGCTGCATTTACATTCTGGCAGAATTTAAGGTGGAACGGGAAAAAATCGAACAAGAAGCTAGAGAATAAAAAACGACTTCAGCCTCGTAAAACAGTCGAAAGTTAAGAGACATTTTACAAGAAACTACTCAACTTCTGAGGAAAGTTTTCTGGCAGAGATGGGAGGAAAGCAGCTATAGCTGAACCTTAAAACAGAGCAAAGTAAGTCTGCGTTTTTGTTTATATTTTTAGTCCATACTAGGACATTAACACTGAGACATACTGGACATTAAATGTGGCTCCCAAGGTGGTTTGATTTTTGTTGAAAGGTCAAAATGGCTCTTCTGATCATTTGTGTTGTGACTCCTGACCTAACCTGGCTTTAATGCAGAGGGAGCCGGTCGGATTTCTCGCTCATCCAGTTGTGTTTGTGCCGCCACAGACTGTCCGGGCGCTGCACTTCCCCACTTCCAAGTTCCGCCTTTTGCGTTCCATCAACATTACATTATAAATTAATTTAGAAAATCTATTTTTGACATTTGTGAATCGATTCAGAATCATCCACGTCTGCATCGCGATGCATTAAAGAATCGATTTCCCCCCACCCCTATTGGCCACTTCAGTCTTGCACTTTAACAGCTGCGTAGAATGAACAAAAAAAGACAATTAAATTAGTAACTGCAATTATTTTCCTCATCAGCTAAAAACTCATGATCATGACAGGCCCATCAGACAGTGTGAAACAAATATTTTGTTACTGTCCCCAAGTCAAGACGAGCACATGTACTATTGTTGACGCTAAGATATGGAGGACAGATGAAAGCCTAAGGAAGGAATGTGTCAATCATCTGTCCTCCAGCACTCGTTATTTATGGTTATCACACATTGATGGATGGCTGGAATATTGCTGGATTCACACTTTGACTAAATCTGACAGACGAGGGCAGCAGTAGCTGACCTCAAGTCACACACAGCGGTTTGTGTTTGAGGGGTCACTGCACCATATGAGTATGAGAAAGAAGGAACTACTACAGCATCTGAGTGCTGTTCAGTAGTTTAAAGCTCCTTGTAAACCTGTTGTTTTGTAGCATTCCATAATGACGCACCAGCTCAGAGTGGCTAACATCTTGCATTAATTCCTAATGCCACACAGTCACATTTCCCAACTGTTCCCCATTGTTTGCCTGGGTGCACTTGCGGCCAATTCCACCACGTGCCAAGGTTACATGAGCGGCAGGGATGAGGAAGGCATTTGGAAACAACATGATGATTTCATTTATAGCATGGAAACACAACTCTTCCCATGATTTTAAAGCACCCACGTCGCTGAGACTATTTTAATATAAAAATCTCTGCCTATAAAGTCAACTTAAAATAAAAAATGCCCTTGTTTATATTGTTGTTCACGTCCCTGTTCATATTAAGCACAAGTCACCATATGATTCAAAAGACTAAGTACTTGTTTTCCTGTAATCTCTGATAGAAGAAAAGGGGAAAACACTGAAAAAATGGCATTTTGTTGATAAAATTATCTTAAATATAGTCAATAAATCTAATGTTTTCCTGTTGAGATTGTTGCAAGTTTAAATTAAGATTATTTAACTTATTTCTAGACATTTTATTTATATGTTTTAAGTAATTTGACAATGTAAAATAAATTTAACATTATAAAAAGAGATCATTTCGCTCAATAAAATGACCTAAAACAAGTAAACAGTGTAACAAACTCTACAGGAATAAAAAATATTATAAATATTTAAGATAATTGTACTTGAAAAGATATCACTTTTTGCAGTGCTGCATCTAAAGCTTCTGATTTTTGAATACATCTCCATCCACGAGTGGGCAGAGAGAAATAATATTAACCAACAATATCAATACAGTAAATGCAATATTGTGGTAATATTGTAACCAGGATAGAAGGTAAGGTAATTATCATGATACAATATTTTTTCTACCAGCAAAAGTCAACAAGTCCTCAACAAGTCGATGTAGTTTGAGCCAAGCATGCAATGATATAAGCTTGTCTTGGCTGATCGACTACATTTAGCGCAATGGGAAAATGTTAGAAATGTTTTTTGCCATACTATGAATTTAAAGGGACTCTTATTCAAAGACTTTGGCCCAATCTCATTTCTTATTTTTACCCCCACCTCTTGTTTTCTGAGTGTCTCCTTGCCTCTTGAAACTGAGTTACAAGGATAGTGGTTGAAATCTTCTCCTACAAAATGGGACCCTCAAATAAAAAGAGCATCACTTCATTAACAGCTACCAGCGCTGCTCTATAGGCGACGCTGCCAGTCTGCAGTGACAGCAGAGGAAGGTAAAGTTCAGCTCCTCACTGCTGGGCTTTAGTTACATTTAGGGCATCATATGCCTTCAAAGAGGGGGGCAGTTATTTATTATCGCCCACCACTAATTCTTCAGTGATATGAAGCTGAAGTCAGATATTCTCCAGCTTCTTGTTCGAATTTTCCTGTTCCACCTTAAACGGAGCAGCAGTTATATTCTAGTGCCTCAGGTGTCAGAACTGCTGTTTACCATTTAAGGTGGAACGGGAAGTTAGGTAGCTAGCTACCGAGACATCAGCTACTACTAGTGATTTTTTTATGCTTGTTATGAAGGAAAGGACCATAATACATTTAAACAGCATGAATACAATGATTATCATAATTTTAACAGAGAAAATACTTAAATTGGTGGGTTTCCTTGGTCGCTCGCACAGCCTTCTTGTCAGTTTTTCTTTTTTCCTCATATCACTCTGTTTGGAGTGTCTCTGAATAACCTTTATTTGGAGGGCCATGCAGCCCTAACACTTCACCCTACACCTCTATCTCAACAAAAATCAGGACACCTTACCTCTAGGCATGAATGTGCATACAGGCTAAGTGGTAGGGGCGAGGGGTGAAATGGGATTGGGCCTAAGATTCTAGGATAAGTAAAGTTCTAGCACTTGTGTCCTGTGATGAAAATAAATTGAACGTAAATGATTAAATTACCTTCATCCTTTCCTGCTGCAGCTCATTTTGTATGTCAGACAGTTTGGTCTTCAGCTCCTCATTGGCTGCCTCCATAGCCTCCTGCTTCCCCCTGCTCTTCTTAGGGGGAGGGGCTGAGGTAGGTGTGTTTGCAGACATCTTCTCTGCTGCCCCCTCCTTTGGCGAACCTCCCGTCCGATTCACGGCTCTCTCACACAAAATTACTCGCCACAACAGGGGCAGACCTCTCTACCGTCATCATCCTCTTCTTTGTCATCGTCAGGGGCGACAGCCGAGCCTTCAATCTGAAAACAAACGCAGAGAAAACACATTTAACTGCTGCATTTCAAAGAGTCTTCAATGTAGACTCTTCACTGACTAATCCAACTGTGGAACTAAAATCTATGCTAGAGGCTCCATCTAGTGGAGAAAGAACTGTATTACATGCAAGATGTTGTCACTCAGTTACAGCAAAGCTCTCCTTACAGCGTTTGAATGTGAAGCAACCCGATGCATCTTCTCTCAGATGCAGAGCTGGGCACTATCGTTATTGTGATAAATTACATCACAACATGCCATAACATGCTTTTCAGAGCGCATCACAGATATTGTCAGTACCTAAAAAATCACTTTCCAACTGCATGTTCAATTAAAAAGAGCATAATTAGTCATGTTTAATTGGATTTAGTGCAGCAATGTGAGAAATGTTCAACACAGGTCACTGGATTAATAGTTTTTGATGGTATTTTTAAAATGTGGCACTACTTTGTCTGTTCTAACTGATCAGATATTACAAAAAAATTAATATTGTGACATCATGCATCATAAAAAACACCCTGAAGTATCATATTATTACATTTTACCATATCGTCCACCTTTACGTTTTTCCAGGTGAAAAGTTCGTATTTGTTCCTTTTCATAACTGAATGTTTTAAAACAGAACAGTAAAATAAAGTCCTGGAGACGAGACGGGGTGTGTGGAGTCAGTACAGCTTAGAACATATCATTTCAGTGGATTATGGTTCAGTTATGTTCCCTGACTAAAGGTACTGAGATGGACCCTTGAGGGTTCCACCTCAGTGACGAGAGGGGGACTGACCCAGTGACAGTTTACTACCTTTTTTTCTGTGAGTGGAGCTAGATATTGGAACACGTGTGATGATTTGATTGTATTCCGCCACAAAGGCATAAGTGATGCCAGGTACTGATGTTAGATGACTAATTCTCAATCACAAACAGCTCTTCAACTCATCCTAGTGGTACTGGATGGAGCTCCTTCACTCCAGACAATACAGTGGCATTGGGAACAGTGACCTCATGTGTGGCTACTCCAGAGTGTCCCATTCTATTCCTTAATTATACAAGCGGTGTAATTAAACACTCTTATCAGCAAAGGGTGCACCAAAGGTATAGAAGCACCCTCTGGACCAAAGCAAACTTGGACACAACGTAGCCAATTTTTCTTGTCAAACTATTCCTTTAATATACTCATAAATCATAACTCACACTGTAATTAAACTTGAATTGATAAATCAATGGAGTGACTGACCACCTGTCATTTACTTTCTCTCTAGTCAAACTGGCCATTAAGTAAAGACAAACACATATTTAACAGAAAATTGCCTTGACGCCTCAACAATTAAATACAATATTAAGAGAAAAGAGATTTTTTCCACACCTCTAAAGTTCAGTCTTAGAAGTTGCATTTTCTGCTTCTGACGATCCAAATAATCCCAAACACATTCAACTGTGTTAAGGACTGGACTCCGGGGTGGTCAGTCCATTGTTCTGAGATCACCAGCAGCTGCTTTGTTTGATTTGCAAATTTCCTTCCTGACAGCTACACATTGTTTCACACTCATAGCGCTGAGTTGTCCTCTCAAAGTGGAAGGATGGACAGAAACACCTGTGGATGTTTTCAGATCTGAAGCAGCTTGATTTTCTCCTCTCTCTCAGAGACGAAAGCTTTAAGTGCTGTTTATCTGATGGGGACTGTTTTGGTGGTCCACTCAGTCTTGCATGGTTCCATTTTCTCAATATATTTTAATCATTTTATGAAATCCCCTTTTTAAACTTCTGTTTTGCTTATTTTCCTTTTACGTCACCCTTTCCTATGCAAGTGGATTAAGTTGTATCTAATCTCCTCAGAAATATCTCCTGACAAATAAACAGCTTGTACTTTAAGGCCATTTGACTGGAAATTTAATAAATGATGGGTGGTCTCTACGTTTGTGCGCAGTACTGTAAAAGTGCCACTATTAAGTTAACAGTGTCTAATGAACTTGATTAACTTGAGGAACTGCAAGCTTTATTTCACAAGGTTTATTACATGAAAACCACAGCGTTTTACTGCTTTTCCGACTGTGGGCAATTACTGGATGATACAAAAAGGTTTTTCCTGTTATCACAGACACACAGACTATTCCAGAAAGAGAGACAGGACACCAAAATCAGCATGCTTTGACATTTACCTGTTTGTAATCTTAAGGTTGAGCAAAAACACACACAAACACACATTTGGCTGCAAGATGTCGACGTAATCAGTTTACCGGCATTCTGAGATCCTTGCACTCTTAAGGGAAAGAGACTAACAGGCTTATGCTGCATACCGATACACAGGCACATGCACAAACACACTCCTGAAAAAGGCCTTCATTTCGACATATACAGGAGGATTTTCAGAGCAGTAAGAAAAAAGACATGAACAAGCTTACGGAAATCAGATTAACAGACTTTCACAACACAGAGTAAAGCCCAGTCAACATCTCCTGCTCTCTGTGAAACTGAAAGAATGTGTTCATACTAGTAGGATGGATGCTACCATACTAATAACATTCCCTCCAATGAGACTGGCCAGTTTAAAAACAATCTACATATCACTGCTGTCGGAAGAAAACCTTAACTTTACAGGAAAAGGAAAAAAACCTACTTTACTTTTAATGTAAGTCAAAGGAACCCAACCCATTTATCATGAAATTTACATACAATGTAAAGGGCAACAGGCATCATTTTCAAATTATGTCAAAAACTGAAAAATGCTATGATACGAGGTTTTTCTGACAGCAGTGATATACGGGCAGCATGGTGGCGCAGTGGGTGGCGCGGTCGCCTTACAGCAAAAAGGGCCTGGGTTCGATTCCCGGCTGGGTGACCAGGGGCATTTCTGTGTGGAGTTTGCCTGTTCTCCCCGTGTCTGCGTGGGTTTCATCCAGGTACTCCGGTTTCCTCCCACAGTCCAAAAACATGCAGTCAGGCCAATTGGATGTGCTAAATTGCCCCTAGGTGTGAGTGAATGTGTATGTCTGTCTGTCCTGCGATGGACTGGCGACCTGTCCAGGGTGTATCCTGCATTCCGCCCAATGACAGCTGGGATAGGCTCCAGCACCCCACCGCGACCCAGAAGGATAAGCAGTTTGAAGGAAGGAAGGATGGATGGATATATAGATATGTAGTTATTTTAACTGGGAATGGGAAGCATATGATATTCAATGCCCTGTATACTCTACAGTATACTGAACACTGAAATGTGAGAGGTTCTGAATAATGAAAAAGTTTCTGAACTCTTGTAACTACTTGGACTTCTGCATGAGTGGCTCTCATTCATAATAATAAACAGAGAGCTTTTTCACACAATATACACATATACAAGGATTTACATTACCATATACAAAATATGCAAACTGCTTAAACAACCAACGTCACTGATGCAAAACTAAGTGTACCTCTAGGTTAATGGCAGAGTTACTAGGACCCCAGCTAAGGATCTGGAAACCACACACATTCATGGCTCTCCAAGAGTGATATTCAAAGATGCCAACACAGACAAACCACTGCTGTCCAAAACACTATAAACAGGGCACTAAGTAACCTTTTCATTTACATGTGTCATCGTGTTATCTGTGAAATGAAAAATGAGCTCCGTTACATTAGTAATGAGTAATAAGAGCTTAACAGGCTGCAGCAGTGGTGGTGAGTTGGGGGGGTATCATGGTTCTTCAGACTGAGAATTGCTGTAGATGTTTTTTTTTTATAGATATAGCACTCAAAATGGTTCTCCTACTGTTACAATGCCAAGGTTGTAACAACAGAAGCCCCCTTTGGTTGTATATAGAACCCTTTTCAAATATCTATAACACATTCATGCACATTTTCCATCAGCGATTATGCCAACAACATTTGAGAGTTCATGGTTCTATATAGAACCATTTTCTTTACTAAAGAACCCTTGAAGAACCATCTTTTTGTTGGTTAAAAAAGTTGAAATGTGTGTAGTTATGGCACACAAGCCCAATAAATTCATTATAAAGCTCTGGTTTGCTTAGAGGTGGGCGAAATGGCTAAAATATAACATTGCAATACTTTTCACAATACACCGTATTTATTTTTTGACATCTGATCAGCTGGAACAGAGAAAAAAGTGCGCTTTTTATAAAAAAATACTATCAAAAACTGAACATTTTTATTCAGTATTTGGCTCACAGTGTTGCAGTAAATCCACTTAAAAAGGACTACTTTCGCTCTCTTTGTCTAATGAAACATGCAGTTGGTCAGTGTTCTACAAGTATTGATTTACACAATATGTTTAGAAAAGTCTACAGTATTATGACGTAATTTATCATGATAATGATATCGTCATATTGCCCAGCGCTGGGTTGGCTACAAATACACGGTGAACAGGGCACCTGTATCTGGACAACAAGATGCAGTTACTCGAGCAGCGACTAGGAGAAAGTGAGGTGCTGAAGATGGTTGAGCTCCATCTGAGAAAGAGTTATAAGAAACATTATGGTTTTAGTGAAACTGCAGCAGCATCAAACGTATCCTGCATTCGATATTACGTAGTCAAGTTTGATTACTTGAATAAATAATATTCAAACATACAAAAAGATTTAAATAATATATCGCTGCTGTCAGAACAAAACCTAAACGGTAACTTTATAGGAGAAGGAAAAAACATACTCTACTTTTAATGTAAGTCAATGGAACCAGACCCCCCCAAGTCATTTTGGGCTGTTTATTTTGGCCCATTCATCATGAAATCTACACACAAGGTAAATGGCAACAGGCATTTTCAAATTAGGTAAAAAAAACTGAAAAAAGACAAAAATGGAGATACAAGGTTTTGTTCCGACAAAAGTGATGTACACAGATCAGGCATAACAATATGACCACCTCCTTGTTTCTACGCTCATTGCTCATTGTGCAGCAGCAGATGAGCTATCATCTCTGACTTTACATCTACAAGGTGGATTGACAGTCTAATAGAGTGGACAGTGAGTGGACACAGTGTTTAAAAACTCCAGCA